TCAACACTCAAGATATGAAAATTTACTTCATGGGTCAACAAATTATAGCTGAATTATAAAATTGGTGAACAGAACATAATATGTGAAGTGAGAAGTCTGGTAAGATTGGACCCTGCTCACCTCACTAGGACATCTAGGGGCTATTAGTCCATGAAACTCTTCATGGCCCTCTATTCCACTATTACTTCTCTTCAAAATGTTATCTTGGGACTTTGCCTACCAACTACATCTTGGACCTCTGAGGACATAGAGGGTATGCGCACAGCAGAGCTGAAACCAAGCCAAGAATATCTTCAAGGTTACCTGGTGACAAGGTTTAGGAGCATTGCTGAGGTCTTGGATATTTAGCAACATGTCTTGGCTCTGTGGGCCAGGCCAGTCCCATATTACTAACAACAAATCATGTTGTGTTAAAGGCCAGAGCAATAAGCTTTGTGAGCAAAGCAGCCAACAGAATTCAGAGGAGCTATGCCATACATCTTTGTTGTCTGTCAGAACAAACTGTGTCACAGGACTGTAGAGCTTGCACCGAATACCAGACTCATTTGCACATGGATCCTACATTAGAAACTGCTGGTCAGTGGTCCTGGGAAGTTTCTAATATGAGTCTTTGTAATCAGGGGGAAAAAAAGGCTTGAGCTGCCCAGTCCTGTTTCCAATGAATCATTTTAGGCCAGGAGTTGTGCTATTGAGCAGTAATGCCTTTTACTCCTGGTTTCAGTGGCGCAGGGGGAGAGTTTTGTCCATAAATATTAGCTAATCTAGCTTCACTTTCTCACAGACAACAATTATAAAATCTGAACAATTTATTCACAAGAAAACATTTTACAGCCTGTATTGGAGAACCATTCGAGTAGATTCAGAAAAGTTTGCTTGAGAAAGAGGAAAGAGCTCTCTATAGAGTTTTTCAATTACGGATAGACTTCAAAATATATTAAGCAGGGCTGGGAAGGTGGCTCAGTGATAGAGCGCTTGCCTTGCATGCATGAGGCCCTGGGTTCAATTCCTCAGCACACATAAGCAAAAAGAAAAAAGCCGGAAGTGGTGCTGTGGTTCAAGTGGTAAAGCGCTAGCCTTGAGCTGAAGAGCTTAGGGACAGTGTCCAAGCCCAGAGTTCAGGCCCCACGACCAGACCCCAGAAAAATATATTAAGCATTAAACTTCAATGGGTAACATTGTCCACAAAGAAATGTACTCGACTTATGTAACTGTAACTCATCTGTACATCACCCATATAACAATTTAAAAAAAATGTGTGTTGAAAAACTTAACAATGAAATCTCCTTCTCTATAGCCCTAATTTTTTAAAAAATTAATGAAAGAGAAATGTTGCCAGGTGCCAGTAGCTGCCTGTACCCCTATTCAGGAGGCTAAGATCTGAGGATCAGTTTGAAGGCAGCCTGGGCAGAAAAGTCCCCGTAAGACTCTTACCTCCAATTAAGCACTCAAAATCCAGAAGTGGTGCTGTGACTCTCAAGTGACCACTAGGCTTGAGTACAAAGCAGCTCAGGGACAGTGTCCAGGCCCTGAGTTCAAGTCCTACAACCAAAAAGAGAAAAAAAGAGAAAAAAAATGTGTTGAATAAGCAGAACAATGTCTGGATGTCTATGACAAGCAACTCGACTTTATTCTTTCCTTTTGGTCCTATGACATACTTCCTCCTGATTGCCACTCTCATTCCTTCAGAGCAAAACTTCTCTAGCAAATTTGGAAGAGAAAAGGCTAGGGCCAAGAACATACTGGGAGAAGCAAGGCTGCACTGGAAAGAGAAAAGGTCAGAGGAATGGGTAATTTTCTCCATCATGGATCAAAATAACATCTCCTAGTTTTTTTGTTTTCACTCATGTGGCTTGAAATCTGGGTCGGGGAGCTGTTCCTCAGCTCTTCAGCTCAAGGGCATCGCTCTACCACTTGAACCACATCACTCCCAGTTTTCTGGGGGTTAATCAGAGAGAAGAGTCTCTCGGACTTTCCTGCCTGGGCTGGCTTTGACCCATAATCTCCGGATCTCACCCTCCTGACTAGCTAGGATTACAGGTGAGAGCCACTGGCACCCCAATATATCTCCTAGTTTTAAAATGGCACAGGTCAAACTAACTTGTCTTACTCATTTGGGCCAGCCTAAAAAGATATCACAGACTTCTAAATACGTTTTTCACAGCTCAGAAGATAAAAATTTTAAATGACATTTGGGCAGGACTTATTTCCTGGGGCATGGATAATCTTCTGTTAGGGCACTCATGCCAATCACTTCCCAAAGTCTCCACTCTTCTAAACACCATGACAGTGAGAACTGTTTCAACACATGAATTTGTGGGGAACATACTCAGTCTAAAGATTGTCCTGTATATCTGGCAGAATGCAGAGTATATCAAGTTCACAGACTCATCAGTCAGCAAGCTCAGAAACGCAATGGGATCACGAATATTAGAGAGGCAAAGTGCAGTCAGTAATTGCTGTTCCTTAGATGAGGAAGTCTATAGGTGTTGCTGGAATGGTGGTTTCAAAATCTGGGTTTCAAAAGGTGTTGAGCTAGGATGCGATCACCTGGGATGATGTCTACTCCAGATGAGGTCATCTGGAATATGAGACTAGGGAATCTTAAGTGATTACCACTTCTGTGAACATGTCTCAGCATTTTCCATGCTTGGTTGGAACAGCTTGGAGGGTTTCAATTGAGAACCAATGAAAGCACGCAGACCAAATATAGTAACCTCAAGGACCAAATAGGTAGCTGTCCTTTCTAGCTTTTGAGGTATACGTGTGCATACATGTGTGATGTGTTTTTCTACAAAAAAAAAATTTGATAAAATATCTAGGTTCACATAGGAAGAGGTAGTTACCAATGAACATATTTAAGGTTTACACTTAATAGTTATTAAACAGCACAAATATTGATTTCACAATTGACTCTCAAGATTTTTAGTCAAAACATAAATTCTATGCCTAAGCTAAACAGATATAGGGACCGTGATTACATGTTAAAAGATAAGCCAAGCACTGGTGGCTCATGCCAGTAATCCTAGAGCTACTTGGGAGGCTGAGATCTGAGGATCATGGTTCAAAGCCAGCCTGGACAGGAAAGCCCATGAGACTCTCCAATAAACCACTAGAAAACTCAAAGTGGTGCTGTGGCTCAAGTGGTAGAGCGTCAGCCTTGAGCTGAAGAGCTGAGGGATAGTGTCCAAGCCCAGAGTTTAAGCCCCACAACTAAAAAAAAAAAAAAAAGAGATGGTGGTATTGTAGATATATTTATAAAGTATATAATCAGATGTGAAGTGTGAGGAAAAAGCATCTTCCAATTTTGTTAAATAATTGGAAGAACTGAAAGAGGAAAAGACAGAGGCAAATGGCAGAACCGAAAACCAAATGTTTAGATTTAGAGTAGTTACAGTTATTATGTACTCGAGTAAAAAAGCCAAGATACCTACATCACAGTTCAGGACAAAGGTTTTGACTGAGAATACAAATAAGTGTCATCAGAACTGCTGGTATTGAAGAAATAAGGTAAGAACATCAGGGATGTATCAAGATGTCTGGGAAATTCTAATTCTTAAAGGTCTCACATGCAAAAAACATACAAGAAAGAAAGAGCAGAATGGAAATTTAATGTGTTTGCTCTAAGTCATCAAATTCTTTTCTAAAAAAAAAAAAATCATACGAGGGGGGATGGGGGAGAGGCTGGGAAGGGATGTGAAGGGTAAACAAAGGAGGAGGCTGCAATGCTTGATAAGAAATGTATGCATTATCCTGCCCATGTAATTGTAACCCCTCTGTACAGTATGTTCACAAAAATAAAATAAAATAAAAAAAAATACAAAATGCTGATAGATCAAATAAAACCAGATCACTGGGAGATCAATAATTCCAGTGGAGTCAGATGAAATCTGACCAGATTGGGCTCATTAAAAAAAAACAAAAAAACACTAAATGAATGGAGAGAAGTTTTACAAATTGTTTTGCTATCAGAGGAAAAGTACAAAGCTTTTCAATGGTCCTGGTTAGGCAATGTGTAAGTAGTAACAGGAAAGAATAATGAAAAATAAGTAAGGATAAATAAATGCACTGAAGACATCTTTTGAAGTTCTTTTCTGATTGACCCTATTTTCTTAATGCTACAGGAAACAAGGAAAGGAAGGCGTATTGGGGATATAAGAACAGAGATGAAGTTATTGGGAGAATGTAAAAGAACAGACTCACTGAAGTCACATTGATTTCAATCAAGACCAATGAGTCTGCTTGTGAATGAACATTTTCATTTATTTAAAAACAACACAAAATATAATTGCTCTGTAGTCTTTCTTTTCGTTTTTTAAATTAAATGTTCTCTCAAACCATTTCTCTTTCTGAGCTCTGGTTTCACTTTCCTATAGCATTATAATTTAAACATGAAATACAGGTTGAGTTTTCCAATAGATACTAACCAAAACACCTACTCCAGGAAGCCTGTCCCTTCCCAGCATAAACATTTAGGATTCTTCTTTTTTATAGGTTTATAACCATTTACCCAGGGCGTATAGGTTGTCCAATGTTTGTTCTCTTATCCTGCACAACAGACTAACATTTCCAACTTTTGGTATTTTTGCCAAAATGGTAGTTTCTTTCAGTATTCTTTGCTACCCGTCACTTTACATTTTTCTACAACATGGTTATATGTACTAGTGAATGAAACTAAGGGAGCATAATAATGTTGAATGTCAAACCAGTCATGTTCATTATTTCACTTCAATTATTTTCCTGGCAAAATAATTTCATAAATGGGCCAAGTGCCAATGGCTCATGCCTGTAATCCTAGCTACTCAGGAGGCTGAGATCTGAGGATCACATTTAAAAGCCAGCCTGGACAGGAAAGTCCCTGAGAATCATCTCCAATTAACCACCAGAAAACCGGAATTGACACTATGGCTCAAGTGGTAGAGTGCTAGCCTTGAGCTGAAGAGTTGAGGGACAGAGCCCAGGCCCAGAGTTCAAGCCCCATGACCGACCAAAAAAAAAAAAAAAATCATTTTATAATAAACATTTATTTGGTAAACTATCTTATAACCCTAAAAAGTAAAAACGATTTTTTTTCATTTAGTGACAAAAAGCACAACCTCAGTCAATCCTCCCTCTTGAAAGCCTACTCCATAACAGAAGTGTTAATTCCTTGAACTGTATTACAACTGTGAGAAAGGAGAGACAGAACGAGACATTTACTAAACTTCCACAGGAAGACTGTATAAATCTGGCAATGGTTAAGTAAACATTAGACCATACCTAAGAGTACTACCCAGACTGAGAAAGTAACTAAAAATCTAAACTTATTAGGAATTTTGTTCTTAATAAGGCTAGGAGGAATTACACTCTTAAGTATGTGGTGATATCAGTTACATTTATATAAATTGGCATAATCAAAAAAGTGAAGTGGACAAAATGGACTTCAAAACCAATGTAAAAAAAAAACCTAATTGGATATACACAAGCAAGTTAAAAGGCCTTTTTTTAAAGCTTCACTTAAAACAAACATTCAGGACTGGAATCTTCAGAATTTTCTACTATCTTGAATATTCCTGTCTTCTCTTTAACTGGTCCAGAGGCTTTCATTTGATCTATGGGAAAAAAAAATAAAGCAAGTACTTTAAATAAAAAAAGAACCTGAGGAAAGAAATGAAAAAAAATTCTTGCAAAATGAATCAATCACCTGTCTAAAATATAAACCCACAGAAATGAAGAACATGCTTTTCCTTACCCAGAAATAGTTACAAAAACCAAGTATGTATTTCTCTTATTACAGCAAACTATAAATATAAAACATGAAACCTCGATTTGCTAGGCAAAACACCTGCTGAATTTGATGCAAAAAGTTAAAATAAACAGAATAGTACTTTGAAGTATAATTTTTGCTTGTTCTTTTGGTGGTCCTGTGGATTGTACTTGGGGCTCATGCTTGCTAGACAGGTACTATATCACTTACACCACTCTCCTTTCTGCGCTGGTTTATTTTCAAGGTAGGGTCTTGCTTTATGCTTTATGCCACAAATGGATGACAAGCATTTGTCACCTCACCCAAGGATTAGACAGATTTATAGCTAAAAACAACAATAACAAAAAAAAAACCCAACTTGGTAAAACTGGAATGGACTACAACAAAACTTAACAACTTTAACTCATCAAGACACTAAATTTGGGTCTGAGAATGAGGCTTAGGGTAGAGTGCTTGCCTAGCATGCATGAAGCCCTGGGTTCCATTCCTCAGTACCATATAAACAGAAAAAGTCGGAAGGGGCCCTGTGGCTTGAGTGGTAGAGTGCTGCCTTGAGCATAGAGATGTTCAGGGAAGAGCCCAGGCCCCAAGTTCAAGTCCCATGACCAGCAAAAAAAAAAGATACGATAACCAAAATAAAGTTAGTGCTAGCCTTGAGCACAAGAGGCTCAGGGACAGTGCCTTGGTCCTGAGTTCAAGCCCGAGGACTGCCCCCTGCCCCCAAAGGCACTAAATTTAAGAAGTGCTGAAAGATACATCCGAAGAACTTGTATCCACAATATATTTAAAATGTATATAAATTTAATAAGAAAAACCTGGTTCCAATGCAACATATGAAAATATATCAAAGGCATTACAACACTATACTCAATTGTGTGTTAGTTTCTGTTTATTAAGTAATAATCACCAACTTCAAGATCCTAGCACAATGTCACTAAACCCAGCTAGAAAGAGGACTGGCAATATGAGGATATGAGTTGCTTTAGCAATGCATTCTAAACTAGTTAGAAAATTAATTTTGAATGTTTACAAAATAATTGAAGGTCGTTATTATAGTAGCAACTCATTTTTCTGTAACTTGATAAATAACCAATCTGTACTACCCACTTTTTATTTTAGATGCTTTCTTTTCTAAATGCAAAAGAAAATTCCCAGTAGACAAATTTCAACTAATAAAGCTGATAGCACAGGCAAATCATTTTGCAAAACCTAAGGAAATACAAGTTCTAATCAATCACTATAAAAGTATGTTTAAAAAACTATTAAAGCAGTGTTTTTCTCTGTTCAGATAGAGAACTTAAATCTGATTAAGAGAGCTACTTACCAATCTATAAGAAATATACACTGAAAAACAAATTAAAGAATAAACATGGAGGGGGAAGAACCAGCTGATTATAAAGAAATGTAAGCCAAGCTGGGTGCCAGTGGATCCCACCTGTAATCCTACTCAGGAGGCTGAGATCTGTGGATCATGATTCAAAGCCAGCCTGGGCAGGAAAGTCTTTGAGACTCTCATCTCCAGTTAAACACCAGAAAACCGGAAGTGGTGCTGTAAGTGGAAAAGCTCTAGCCTGGAGCTGAATTGCTCAGAGACAGTGCTCAAGCCCAGAGTTCAAGCACCATAACTGACCAAAATAAAAAAAGGGAAGGAAGGAAGGAAGGAAGGAAGGAAGGAAGGAAGGAAGGAAGGAAGGAAGGAAGGAAGGAAAGAAGGAAGAAAGAAAGGAAAGGGAGAAAAGAAAGGAAAGAAGGAAAATTAAGCCATTTTACAGGGAAAGTACACATATTTTCTAGTAAATGATAAGGAAAAACAAGAGGGGTGCACTATATTTAACAATGGAATTTGGCTCCTGATTCAAATGCTACAAAATTTGATTCAGTTGGAAAAATCTGAAATAGATGAAATAAAGTTATCAGCCAATCCTCTCAAAATGACCTAGTATAGTTACAAAAGCCAAATCATATTTCTTATTATAGCAACCTATAGGACATACAATATGAAGCATCGATTTGCTAGGCAAAAAAACCTGCTGAACTTAAGATACAAAATTTAAAGCAATCGGGCTGGGAAGGCTCAGTGATAAGAGTGCTTGCCTTGCATGCATGAGGCCCTGGGTTCGATTCCTCAGCACCAGATAAGCAAAAAGAAAAAAGCCAGAAGTGGCGCTGTGGCTCAAGTGGTAGAGCACTAGCCTTGAGCTGAAGAGCTGAGGGACAGTGCCCAGCCAGGCCCAGCGTTCAGGCCCCACGACCAGACCCAAAAAAAAAAAAAAAAAAATTTAAAGCAATCAACAGAATAGTACTTTGCATATATTTTCCAATATTTTTTGTTTGTTCTTTTGGTAGTCAGTATGTTTAAAACTATGTTCTTATAGCTGAGCACTGGTGGCTTCCATCTGTAATCCTAACTACTCAGGAGGCGAGACTGAGGATGGAGGTTAGAAGACAGAACAGAAGGAAAGCGAAACTATTTCCTCTAATAAACTACTCAGAAAAGGCCAGAAGAAGTGCTGTGGCTCAAATGGTAGAGCACTAGCCTTGAGAACCAGGGACAGTACCCAGACCCTTTAGTTCAAGTGCCAGGAATGGCAAAAAAAAAAAAAAAAAAGTTCATTATTAAAAAAAATGAATGACAAAAACTTACCAATAAGATCACTTCGATCTAACAACAACTCTAGATCCTTATCACTAATGACCTTCTCTCTTGATCCTTTTACTTCCCTAGAAAGACAAAATATTAAATCAAAATGACGCTTCCTATTTTTATGAAGAAATTTTAAGGGCTCAAGGTATAGGTTAAATGGAAGAGCACCTAGCAAGCACAAGTATCCAAGTTCAATCCTCAGTTAACACATATACACATACACACACACATACACACAACAAAAAAAAAAAGAGAAAATTTTTACCTTTCATAATCTCTAGATTTTAATAATTCCATCAATTCTTTAGGATCTAAGAAAGTTTTAGGTTGATTTAATCCAGATTGGCCACCTTTGAAATGATCTAGAGAAAAAAAATGAACATTAAAAATCCATTTTAAAGCTGAACTGTATTATAAACCTATGAGAATGACTTATAATTTGTTTACAATAAATCCAATCAGGAAACAACAGAAGTATCCATTAACAAAAGAATGGACAAAAACCAAAACTACTTAGCAAAACAAACCTTCTAATTCAAGGATATGAATCTCAAAAATAGTATGTGAAAAAAAATGTGACATCATAATAGTGGATAATCTCAGACAGACAAACAGAGAGAATGACTGAAAAGGGTGCCTGCGTAAACTTTATTACATGAGAATGCTCATTCTCTTAATCTAGATAACTATAAATATACGTATTTCATCAAACTATAAATTTAAAAGCTGTGTATTTCATAAAATCTTTCAAATTTTTTGTGTGACATTAATGTCAGAACTTAGGAAAAGGGGCTGGGAAGGTGGCTCAGTGGTAGAATGCTTGTCTTGCATGTATGAGGCCCTGGGTTCGATTCCTCAGCACCACATAAGTAGAAAAAGCCAGAAGTAGTGCTATAGCTCAAGTGGTAAAGCGTTAGCCTTGAGCTGAAGAGCCAAGGGACAGCACCCAGGCCCAGAGTTCAGGCCCCACGACTGACCAAAAAAAAAAAACACCCCCAAAACAAGAACTTAGGAAAAGATAACTGACGATGTTACCTAAACTTATTTAAAGCAAATATAATTTATCTCATCATCTGAATTTCTAAAGTAACATGTGAAAACTTTTAAGTTAACACAAAAATATATTAGGTTAAGACTCATTTTATCCCCATCTGACTGTTGTAGTCAAATTACTGACTGACTAGTAAGTCACAAAAGTCAAACTGCTTTAAAACCTAACCCACTTTTCCTTAAAAACCGATTATCATACCAGCAAGCAGAGCAGTATTATAAAATTAACTTTCAACATTTTATTATTATGATGCTCAAATTTGTAGAAGCAATTTTCAACTCATGATAATCAAGTCATGAACTCAATTAGTCAATTTTATATTGAATAAAGGTAAAATTTACCCAAGGAATCTCAAAGAATGTAACATGAAAGACTTTAATGAGTCACCTCTGCTCACTAATTTTGAATCCTATCTATATTAATACACACAGATTTTGAATAGGACTAGTTGAATATACCATTAATTTAATGTTTAATACATTAGAGAACATGTAACTTTTCTTAAAAATTTTTGGTAAACAAGTATCTTTTTATCAGAAATATTTATTAAAATGTCAAACTCCCCATTGAGAAGAGTTTAGGGCACTTTCTAATCACTTTTAGTCCTTTGTCTACCCCTCTAGGCCTCATTTAGAAAAACAGTAATGTTCTATGATTACCAATTTAGTGTAGGCTGTTAAGAACTCCAAATCCTCCTCTGCTTATTAAAATCCTGTCACATAACTCTGCACTAATTTGTTTTGTAAGGAAAGTAACAGTAATGACATTAATGGGATTGTACACATGCAATGACAATTAAACAAAAAAGAATCAGAGAGCATCATTTACTTTTGTGGATGATCAACTTCTCCAACTTTCTTTTAGCAGCTGCTCTTTCCACAATTTTCTGGTCGATAGTATTTGCTGTAACAAGACGATATACAACAACTGGCTTCGTTTGACCAATTCTGTGACATCTATCCTGGGCCTGAAGATCAGACTGTGGATTCTTAAAAGTAAAAATAACATTTAAGGCCGGGCATCGGTGGCTCATGCCTGTAATCCTACTCAGGAGGCTGAGATCAAGGATCACCGTTCAAAGCCAGCCCGAGCAGGAAAGTCCATGAGACTTTCATCTCCAATAAACTCTCAGAAAACTGAAAGTGGTGCTGTGGCTCATATCGTAGAGTGTTTGCCTTGAGCTGAAGAGCTGAGGGATAGTGCCCAGGCCCAGAGTTCAAGCCTCATGACAACAAAAAAATAAAAAATAAAATAACATTTTAACAGTATTATGTTAAAAATTAACTTAACCCAAGATATAGAGGTAAAGCCAACATTCATGATAAAATGTAGCTTAACACAACTTAGGGTTCTAAACTATTTTCATAACATTACCATCTCATTATACTCTGGACAGAATTTAAATCTTTAAATATTCCAAAGAAACAAGTTCAAACTTTTGACAACTCAAACCATGACCTTTACAATGAAGGATTTGAAATTTAGAACAGAAATATAATTTGCCCATTGAGGGTTACAACTTACCCAATCACTATCATAAATGATAACTGTATCTGCTGCAGTCAAATTAATACCCAGGCCACCAGCTCGTGTACTCACTAAGAAAAGAAATACACCTGGATCTGTGTTGAAGCTGTGCATCTAAAAGCAGAGAAGATGAAAACATAATAAATTAAAAATAACTAACTAGCTGAGAAGGCATTGTTTTTAATTTCCACTGACAACTTTTCCAAACTTGGCCAAACTCACCTAGGGTGCCCTGCCCTGCTCTGCCTAGCAAATATGGGGCTATGAAGTCAAACCAACCTCAAAACAAATGAATTAAAAGATTAAATGCTAAATGGCTACCTCAATGGCTTGATCCTGTATCACATATATAATGACAACACATAGTCAAATGTTAATGGTAGGGTTAAGATGTGGATCAGAGGTAGAATGGCTACCTTTAACAAGGGCCAGATCCTGAGTTCAAAGCCCAGGATCAGGCAAGGAAACTATTTTCATAGCAAATTCTAGGTGGAATAATAATGCTAAGTACTTTCTACTTTGCTTCAGGCTTGAAATTTGTTTAATGAAACATTGAACCTGGGAGGGAAACAGTTATCTGAATGTTCTTCATATGTGATGATATATAGATACCTAGATATAGATCTAGATATGTTATCTATCTGAAAAAATATGTGCATATACATGCATGTATGTATATACACACAAGTACCAAACACCAACTCATGAATACAAAAACAAAATGCTAGCTTTTAGAGGGTTTTTGGTATTTTCTCATCAATTTAAAGGTCTTTTATACATTACTTCAAAAGTCAAATCAGAAGGTACAAAAAAGAATTTAATGGATGACAAAGTAGTCTTACATGGTTTTCTCTCTCTGAATAAGACATGGACCCATCAAGTCTACTAAAGTTGAAATCTCTAAGTTGACAGTAGTCCATCAAAATATCCAGCATTCTTGTCATTTGTGAAAAAAGCAGCACCTGAAATTTAAATATCTTAATGTAGAGATACTGATTCATAAAACTCAAGCAATTGAAAGTCCAATCAAAATTATCACCTTATGTCCTCTTTTCTTAAGTTCTGGCAGCATTCGATCCAAAATTAACAATTTCCCAGAGTTTGTTACTAATTCTTCATCAATCTTAGAAGTAGAAAAAAAAAGGATAGTTACTAACCATTTGCCCTATAAACATGAAAATCATCTGAATAATTAATGATTCACAATGGCAATTCATTAAAAAACACAAAAACCTTTCAATAGAGGTTACTGACTTCTAATGGAAAACATATACAGTAGAACGAAAAGTGATTCAGTACAGAAGAATTAAGTTCAAATAAGACCATGAGCTTATCCATGAACAAAATCTGAGCCTATCCATGAACAAAATCTATCTTACTCTTCTATCAAAAACTTTGTACAGGGGGTGGGGGGATATGGAAAGGATTGGGAAGGGGAAACAAAGGAGTCAACAATGCTTGATAAGAAATGTACTCATTACCTTACTCGTGTAATTGTAACCCCTCTGCACGGTATTTTCACAATTAAAAAAAAAACAACTTTGTACAGCAGGGTGCCAGTTCACACCTATAATCCTAGCTACTTAGGAGGCTAAGATCTGAAGATCGTGGTTCGAAGCCAGTCCAGACAGAAAAGTCTCATGAGACCCTTATCGCCAACTGACCATTCAAAAACCAGAAGTGGTGCTATGGCTCAAGTGGTAGAAGGCTAGCCTTGGGCACAAAGAGGCTCAGGGAACAGCACCAGGCCAAGTTCAAGCCCCACAACCACCACCAACAAAAAGACTTTGGATAAGAGAATGTAAGTTCAAATTTATTGTATAATCTGAGGGTTTTCCCTTTATAATCAAGTAACTTTTACAAAAATTGCTACCAGAGTTCCAGTACACATTAAAGAAAACATACGAGTTTATAAGTAATCTCATTCACACTAAAGACAATTTTCTCCCTTTGGTAAAATTACCCCATCAAAGAGGTATTTTTATACAGAAGTCAAGTTTTATCTTCCTTTATGTAAAAGTAGAGATTGTCAAATGATAGCATTTTCCCTTCTACCCACATCAAACATGTGGCAGTAGATGGAGTAGGTTGTCACAAATGGGGAAGACATGCGCTACTGCCACCTAGAGACTAGGGAACCTACTAAATACAGTGCACAGGTCATGACCTCCAAACAAGATCTATCTGGCTCAAAAAGTCAATACTGCCAGGGAAACTAGTAATGAAACAAGTTTTAGTGGTTACTACGAACATTTCTTTTAAAGTTATGCAACTTTTCTATCAACTACACAATTTTATTCATTGAATATGATTCTTTTTTCTGTGGCTATTTGTTGAGACTTAACCAGCAAGCGAACTGATTTTGATAAGCTGGTCTTTTAACATTCAGTTACTGAAAATATTACTACCCCCAAAAATAGAGAACAAAATAACTGAATCACTAAAATTTCAGAATAAATTCTAAATTGTTCACATAAAAGTATAAAAGAAGTTTTAAGGCTGGGAACGTGGCTTAGTGGTAGAGTGCCTACCAGTAGGCATGAAGCCCTGGGTTGGGAACCTCTGTACCACATAAACAGAAAAAGTCAGGAATTGGTGCTATGGCTCAAATAAAAATTAAAATTTAAAAAACAAAAAAAAAAAAAAAACCTCAGGCCCTGAGTTCAGGACTGGAGAGGAAAAACAAAGTTTTAAATGTATGAATTAAAACACTTGTTGCATAGCACATAGGAAATGACCACCATTCTCACCTTTCTGAAAGGACTGTAATTTTGGTAAACAGTTCTACATTAAATAATAAATCAAACAAAGTAACATTGTGTCCCAATATAAAAAAAGTATTAAATAATATTTACCTTAAACTCTTGTGTGACAGGATCTATAGGGTACTCAATCAGATATGGATGATTACAACATTTACGAAGTAGCATCATTATATTCTGCAGTTTCAGATTAACTTCAGATTCTACAGGAATATTCATTTCTACAACAGTCCTATCAAAAACATGATATGTGAGTGTGATAATTGTGAAAAACATAGTTGAAATTATTTCAAATTTATGTTTAAACTCACTTTTCGCGGTCCACTTCTGGCTGTATTTGACTCATTAATTTTTCCAATTCATTAGGAAACTCATCTAGTTTGCTGTAATTTATTGATTTTCTGGTTTTTCGTTTTGGTCGCCCAGTAGGACTTAGTTCCACTGATTCTTTCTGGAAGACAATTAAATGTCTATTTAAAACCCTATGTGCTTAAGTTCTAAATGTAAACAAGAAGTTTATGTTCGAAATATACTTATGTATAAAATGACTTTAAGATTTAAAGAAAACTGATCTTTGTCAAGTCTAATAATTCTCCAAGTTCACAATTACAAGAAATTCATAATATAAAGCCAAATATAAATATTCTCAATTTTTAATTTGACAGTTTAGAGAAAAGTCTAATCTTCAGTTATATAATGACCACATACTACCTCTCTCTTGTAATAAATGCATGACTACACCATTTTTCAATCACTATACTAATCCCATCGATACATTCCTGGTAAAGGAATTGATAAATAGAGAAGTCTGGACCAGGAGCATGGTAGCTCAAGCCTGCAATCCTAGCTACTCAGGAGGCTGAGGTCTGAGGATCCCAGTTCAAAGCCAGACCAGGCAGGAAAAGTCCATGACACTATCATCACCAATAAACCACCAGAAAACTAGAAGTGGCACTGTGGCTCAAATGGTAGAGTGCTCAACTTGAGCTGAAAAGCTCAGGGACAATGCTCACCCAACGCTCCCTACCCCCCCCCCCCCAAAAAAAAGAAAAGAAAAAAAATCATGCTGTAGGGCTGGGAAGGTGGCTCAGTGGTAGAGCGCTTGCCTTGCATGCTCAAGGCCCTGGGTTAGATTCCTCAGCACCACATAAGCAAAAAGAAAAAGCCGGAAGTGGCGCTGTGGCTCAAGTGGTAGAGCACTAAAGAACTGAGGGACAGCGCCCAGGCCCAGAGTTCAGGCCCTACGACCGGACCCCAAAAATAAATTAAAAAAAAAATCATGCTGTATTTTATTTACATTCTATTTCAAAACACATTCTACCTCACTAGATCCAAACATCTTCGCAATTGTTCGGTTCACAATGGCTGTATAAAAGACTTCTTGTTTCTTTGAAAGTGGTGCATAAACAACTACTTCTCGTTTAGGAGGAACTTCAAGAGCAACATCAGATTTCAGTCTTCTCAGTAAGAAAGGGGTTAGAATCTAAAATGTAAACATGAATAAATACAAACATTAAGTATTCCTTTCTTTTTGGGAATACCATATCCATACTTATCACACTTTCTTCCCTAGTGTATTGTCTTAAAAAAGTTACCACCTCCTTGAAAGATTCCCAAAGCAAACCAGCAAAAGATAAACTCAGTGTTTTCTAATCTTCCCCCTGCCATACATGCCAGTACTGGGGTCATATACTCTTTTCTTAAGCTTTTCTGCTCAACTGGCTATGTACCACTTGATCTACAACTCCACTCTGGCTTTTTTCTGGTTAATTGGAGGTTAAGAATCTCTTACATTTGTATGCCCAAGCTGCTTTCAAACAGACATCTATGAATCTCAGCATCCTGAATAGCTAGGATTACAGCTGTAAACCACTCATCCCTGACTTCTTTTCTATTAAAATAATATTTATTCTTCTTTGGATTGATAGTGTTAAGTCCAAACATTTTAGTGACATCTTAAGATGACTAGAGAGCCAACCAACTCAACGATATAAAATGTTGTTTCCTTAAGATCTTCAGGCTTAAAATTCCACTATAAATGATATATCACATTTATAAACGAGATAGAAGTTAACAGAAAAAGAGGATCATTGCTAACAATTTAGAGGAAAAGGAAAAAAAAAACCCACCACTATCTGTAGTTACTAGACATAACCCTATGACTTCTGGAAGTAGGAAAAGGGCAAGAAAGTGATTTGACTTAGGGAGACTCATTTCGCTTTTTAAGTCTGAACAATAATGGGTAGTGTCTCTAGAATTTATTATCTATGAGGGTGGAGTAAGAAACAGAGTAAGAAAACAGTCAACACCTGGTGTAGCATATGTAATACGTTTTGTTCTCTTTCTTTAGCTATAATATCTTCAGCAGTATCAGAAAGACTAGTGATGTCAAACCAAGACTCAAAGCTGGAAAAAAAGAGAAATGATTACAAGTTAACCTAACATAAACTCAATTATATTATCTTGAAACAGGGTTTCCAATTTCATAGTTTATTATGAGTCATATGGACAGTTACCAAATCCTCATATGTCATTTTTAATACAATGAAAAAGAACAAAGGACTGGTGACAAAGATCAAGTCATAAAGCATTTGACTAGCAAGTGCAAAGCCTTGAGGTCAATTCCAGTACCACTAAAGAAAACACACAAACAAAAAGGATGTAAATGATGAGATTCAACAATCAGAAACTGCAATCTAAAAGGGATGTTTTTTCAATTAAAAAATGTTAATACCCTATTATAATAAAAAAATAATAACTAAGGTACAGATTTTTGTCTTGTGGTGACAGGGATGAAACCCAAGACATGATGCTATAACCTCAGGCTAAAAGCTATTATTTTACCAAACATTATGAATAGTTGCAGAAATTACAGCTATTGCCAAAACATGTCTATATGGTCTACCTCTACAGAGTGATAGAAATCTGACCCACTCTAACTTTCAACAAAACATTTTTGTGGTTACAAGGAGCTTTGTGTATATTAGGCAAGCATTCTACTACTAAGCTACAAGGCTAGCTTAGATTGAGAAAAGGACATGGTAACTAGAACATTTGGACATCTTAATTACAGCTACCTTTGCTATTCTATGGCTACTCATTTTTTGAAAACATTTTGTGTGTGTGATGGAATGCAGAACTCAAACTGTTTCCTACCTTAAAAAAGTGGTAGGTTAAAATTGGGAAATCTTTGTTTTAATTTTGTTGTGGCACTAACTAATCAGATTTTGTAAAAAATTTATGTCTCTGTTTTCTAATATATTTGAAAAGAAATGGAGGACACTTCCATTTCCAGAGTTTTGGGGTTTTTTTTTTTGGTGTCTGTGCAAGTGTGTGCACATCAATCCCAGGGCTTGAATTCAGAAGCCTGGGTGCTATCCCAGGCCTAAGGCGAGTGGTTAGTGGCTCTACCTTTTAAGTCACAGTTCCATTTCTAGCTTTTTTTGTGTTAGTTTACTGGAGAAAGAGAGTTTCACAAATATTTAACAAGCTGGCTTGGAACTGTGATCTTTTTTTTTTTTTGGCCGATCCTGGGCTTGAACTCAGGACCTGAGCACTGTCCCTGAACTTCTCTGTACTCAAGGCTAGCACTCTACCACTTGAGCTACAGCACTCACTACCTCTGGTTTTCTTCTGTTTATGTGGTACTAAGGAATCAAACCCAGGGCTTGATGCATGCTAGGCAAGCATTCTACCACTAACACACACGCGCGCGCACGCACATGCACACGCCCACACACATGCACACACACGCACACGCACACGCACACGCACGCACACACACACACACACCCTCTTTGTAGAAAGCCCCAAGACAAAATCTTGGAAATATTTTCTTAATATAATATTTTTAGTTTTCCTTTCATTAAAATATAGTTATAAGTTCTTTTATGTGCTCATATATATTTTATGTCAAAAGATGAATTTAATATATATCACAAAGACTCTACCAAAAGATAGCACTTAAATTCAGGTACTTAGAAAAGGGCAGTGAAAAATATAAAACAGTAAAGTAACTGGCTTACCTACCTTTTCAAATCATCAAATACATCTGGCAACAAAAAGTTTAGCAATGACCAAAGTTCTGATAGATTGTTTTGCAAGGGAGTACCAGTCAAAAGTAGTTTGTTATCAGCATTGAACCGTTTTAACTCCCTGATCAGACGGCACTTCATATTCTTAATCCTGTGTCCTTCATCTACTATTAAGTATTTCCAATAGCAATGCTAGAAAATGAATTGAGGGAAAACATTTTTATAAATGATTTTTTCCTAAAAGCATTTCTAAAATAAAACTTCTTTTATGAAGATGTATAGATGCTGAATCTTTTTTTTTTTTGGGTCCGGTCATGGGGCCTGAACTCTGGGCCTGGGAACTGTCCCTCAGCTCTTCAGCTCAAGGCTAGCGCTCTACCACTTGAGCCACAGTGCCACTTCCGGCTTTTTTCTAAATTTTGTTTATGTGGTGCTGAGGAATGAAACCCAGAGCCTCAGGCATGCAAGGCAAGCGCTCACCACTGAGCCTCATTCCCAGCCCAGATGTTGAATCTCATCAAATGTCACTTTGGTATCTAATGAGATAAACATGTTTTCAAAAGATTTAACAATGAGTTAAACTAATGGATTCCTAAACCAATATAATCTGAAAACAGATTTCATTAGGTCAGGAAATAATATTTGAAGTCCATCTGTTATGACGCTATTAGTGCCTCATTCTTTCTGTAGTAGAAGTAATCTTTTATTTCCAATGTTTTATCAAGTTTTGAAATTAGATTTAAAAATTCTAGCCAAAGTTCATTAATTTCATGTATTCTGAAATTTTAAACTGCGTTAGTATTTTCACTTTACAAAATATATCTAAGATTGACACTTTATCTCAGTGTTCTCCATTTTTTTCTTTAGTTTTTAAGTCTTTTTTACTAGAGTCAATTTTAGTAACTGATATTTTCAATCACACATTCATTTTAATGAAGTCGTCCTGAATTTTTTTTTCACTTTTAACACTCATGCTTTCCTTTTTGACTTCTAATTTACCAGGCAATCTGATTTACTTCTTTGTTTAAAAAAATGCAAAAATAGGCACTAATTCTGAAAATATAAACACCAACTAAACATGTATCTTTCAAAAATCTAAGACTGGCAAACTGGACAGAAGAGTATAAGAATTCATCTTTGGCATGTAACTTTTTTTTAAGCATATTACTAAAAGAATAGAAAAAAATTGTATTATTACTTCAGTATTCTGTCTTGCAAAGGACTTAATTTTCTGCCCATCTAACAAATCAGATAACATGAATAATTTTTCACTTTAAGACACCAGTCTAAAACAATAAAACATCCTTTGTAAATTAGTATGTGAAAGAAAAATGAAGGAATGTAAATGAGGAAGAACCTGAAAACAAACTAGTAAGTGGGCTGTCATTCAAACAAGAGCTTCAGAATCGCACTCTCAATCACCCCCTAAAATTAAAATCCTTACACTGTTAAGGCTCAGTGAAAGAAAAAAACTGAAAACATTCTAGCCACTGGCAAATGGAACTGACAAGGAAACCTATTTCTTTTTTATGCTTTTTCTTTTGTTCTTTTTTTTTTGGGGGGGGGGGGAGCGGCGGCACGGGAAAGGGGAGGTCCTGGCTTAAACTCAGGGCCTGGGCACTGTCCTGATTCTTCTGCTCAAGGCCAGTACTGTACCAATTTGAGCCATAGCTCCGCTGCCAGCTTTTTAGTGGTTAAATGGAGATAAAAGAGTTTTTGGAAATTTCCTGTCTGGGCTGGCTTCTCTGAACCATGATCCTTAGAACTCAGATTCTTTGAGAAGCTAGGATTATGAGTTTGAACCACTGGTTCCTGGCTTCTGAACTATTTCAATAGGGGCTGCATAGAGAGAAGAAACTGAGGTGAGTCTTCATATTAGATTATTTCGAAAAGTGTACTCATAGTATGATCCTAAGTACACATTATACCTTTATGTTAACAGTAATTCTTCATTGTCAAAGTAAAATTCAAGTAAAATCATACTTTTATCTCCATAATAAATTTTTTCTATTGACAGTATATATTTTATTGTGAAAAAAATGATTGATATCGTCATACTATACATTTATAATATTGTTGCTAAACTTCTGGTCTAAGAGTGCTACAAAATATATTGCAAAGTTTCATTTATATAAGTGGAACATTTGACAAACATTTGGTCATGATTTTAAAAAACCATTTAATACCAATTATGATCTATGTATTGAATTTACGTTGACTCTATTATTTACATTAGTTTATTCACGCAAGTAAGAAAAAAACAAAGGGATGTCACTTAACAGGGATATCACATGGGCAGAAAAAAGGAACGCACTCATTTCTCATATGTGTAATGAGTTTAACAATGAGGAAGAAAGGTCAACTTTCTAACTGCATTATAGCAAAAGTATTACTTAGTAGTTATAATATCAAGAAAAAAGTAAGGAAATACCATAATACCATTAAGATAATTTAAATATCTTAAAATATTGTATTCTTACTTGCAGAAAGCAAGAGCAGATTGGTAAATTCCATATACTCAAACTATACTTCACAAACACATCTGTCAGATATTCACAGATTAGGTTCATGTCTGGCTAATTTTAAAAACTTAATGTATTATGGCTACAAGTTAAATGTCACAGGTTTATTTTTATTTAACAACCACAGCCTTCTTCCGTATCTTTGTCAAAGGCTCCAGTTTCCAAAAAAATGAGCACAATACAGTCTATTACTTCAAGCAGACATGGTGGTAAGAAAGTGATATGAATTAAATACGATTTATAGATTAGAAGGCAACAATCTATACCTGTAATGCATTTCGGTCCCTCATGGATATTTCAAATGATGTGATTACCACGGGATGAATCTGGAGTGTTCCAGTTCTCTTATGAATTTTCCTTGCCAATTTTTGACGTTCTTGCTGGGTTCCATGATATAACAGAGTAGGAATCTAAAAGATTTTACAATGTTTCAGTACAAAATATAAATGATATGAAAATTATGAACAATTTCCTGGGAGGGAAAAAGATATCAAGACCACAAAAAGAAAATCAAATAAAAAGGCTAAGGTGCAGATGGAAAAATTATTATATATATTGCAAGGATGTGGATAGTAGAATGTATATAGGGAAAAATAAGACTAAGAGAAAACAGGATTAAAAAATCAATATTTGTCTCAGGTACTGTAAGTCATTTAATGGATGAAAGCTATACAAGAACAATTTAAGCAAAGTATCTAATTTCTAATACCTAGTGTTCTAAAAGAATAGATAAAAGGGTTAAAGAAAGGAATTGCTAATATTTGTCTAACCAGATCCAATGCTTTTGTAGAAATCAAGTTTTAATAGTAGGTCTGTAATTTATTTCCTACAACAACAAAAAATGTGGGCAAAAATTTATTTCATGTGAAGAAACATGTCTTACTTCTGGTGTAAATCTTTTGAATTCAGCCATCCAGTTAGGAAGTGTAGACAAAGGACCACAGACAAGAAAAGGTCCAGGTACTCCTCTCTGAATCATCAAAGCAATAGTAGCAATGCACTGAACCGTCTTACCCAATCCCATTTCATCTGCCAAAATGCCATTAATTCCATTTTCCCAAAGCATCTGAACAAAAGAATATACAAGCATGTCCTGAATTAGTAACAGGCTTATTTTTCTAAAAGCATACTTAAAGACAATTATGACACTGGCATAATACAATATATTTTAACAACTATAGGAAGTCATTTATCAAAGCCATAAAAAGTATTGGAAGTCTTGTAAGACATTTTCACTTTCAAAAATTTACTCATGGTAAATCATCCAACTAAACATATACAAATGTCTTATATACAGTAAATAAGTTGTGATACATCAAGTTGTGATACATTATGCTATTTAAGACATCATAAAAAGGAACCAATATATTGTATTAAAAATGAAAGGCATGGCCAGGCAACAGTGGCTCATGCCTGTAATCCTCCTCAGTAGGCTGAGATCTGAGGATCACGGTTCAAAGCCAGCCCAGGCAGGAAAGTCCTGAGACTCTTATCTCCAATTAACCACTAGAAAACCAAAAGTGGCACTGTGGCTCAAGTGGTAGAGCACTTGACTTGAGCTGAAGAGCTTAGGGCCAGCCCCCAGGTCCAGAGTTCAAGCCCCATGACTGACAAAAAAGAAAAGAAAAAGAAAAGTTATTACCCTAAGCCATTCCATGCCTTCTACTTGGTACCATCGCATCACTCCTCCGGTGAAGTGCTTTGGTTGTTGAAAGGGAACTGGTTGTCCATTGTATTTCCGAACTGGGTCAAAAAACAATTTAGCATTCTGTCTAACTGTTTGAGACAATCTATCTTTAATTATGCTATTTGAATCTTTATTTTTCTCAAGTTCTTCTACACAGGAATTAGTAGAGGAAGGGCTCTCATCCTACAAAGAAAAAAGTTTTATTACATGTATGATAGAAAATGTTGCTAAACTTACCACTCACTTACCTGGCAATGAAACTAATAATCATAATCTGCCCAGTCAAGGACTGGGAATGTGGCTAAGTGGTATGCTATGTACTGGAAAAGCAACAACAACAAAAATAAACTATCCAGTCCCAGTCATCAGTAGGTATGGAAAACTAATGTAGATACAAGTAAGAACAGAGACACTTTCATTTCCATGTAAGCACAAAGCCATTAAAAAAAGAAAAAATGAACTAACAGCCTAGTATCAGTATCTCATACCTCATACCTAGCTATTTGGGAGACTGAGACCTGGAGGATTATAGTTTGAATCAGTCTGGGCAAAAAGTCTGAGAGACTACCTCTAATTAACCAGCAAAATGCCAGACTAGAGGCATGTGGAGTATCAGTATAAGAAAGCTGTTTTGGAAATATCGTTCTGGCTGTCTATAAACAAGTGATCATGGTTCATGCCTGTAATTCTAGCTACTCAAGAGATTGAGACCCGGGGATCATGGTTTGAAGCCAGATCAGGCAAGAAAGGTGGTGAAACTCTTATCTCCAATTAACCACTAGAAAAACTAGATGTGGAGGTATGACTCAAAGTATTCACAGTGCTAGCCTTGAGCACAAAGCCCAGGGATGGTGTCCAGGCCCTAAGTTTAAGCCCTATCATCCGCAAAGAAAAAGAAAAAAAGAAAAGTAAAAAAAGAAAGCTAAGCTAGAGCATGAAGTCCTGATTACAGGGTCTTGGAATAAAGAGCTTGGAAAATGTAGTAAGTAATATCCCTATATAAATTGGTGGGGGGATAGAAGGGATGGATAAAAGTAGGTAGGTAATATGGCAACAGAAATCAAGCTTTTGAATTAGAACTACAGAGAATCTTTTTGTATAAGGAAGGTTGAGGGGGTAGGGAATTTGAACTCAGAGTCTGGGCACTGGGACTAAGCATTTCTGCTCCAGGCTAGCAGTCTTCCACTTTGAGCCATAGCTCTACTTCTGGCTTCCTGGTGGTTCACTGGAGATAAAGTCTCACAGACTTTCCTACCCAGACTGACTTTAAACCTGGATTCTCAGATCTCAGCCTCCTGAGTAGCTAGGATTACAGGGAATGCCAGGGCCTAGTTTGAATCTGGTTAGAAACAAGATGAAATGATCCTTCATAGCTTCGACATGATGACTGCATGCATGTATATCCACAGGGTTATAGGAACTTGTAAGTATCATTGCTAAATGCTTTAATATTTATACAGAATTCCATACAATGAACATGGAACATTGTTATGTTAAGTCAGGTACCAGTGGCTCATGTGTGTAATTTTACTCAGGAAGATGAGATCTGAGGATCACAGTTGAAAGACAGCTAGGGAAGGAGAAGTCCTCAAGATATTTATCTCCAATAAACTACTCAGAAAAAGCTGAAAGTAGTGCTGTGGTTCAATTGGTAGAGCCTTAATCTTGAAAAGAAACTCAAGGACATTGCCCAGGCTCTGAGTTCAAGCTCTGGGGCTGGTTAAAATAAGAAAGAAGGGATGGTAGGGGAAAAACAAAGGAGGGAGTAACGATGCTCGATAGGAAATGTACTCATTACCTTACTCATATAACTATAATCCCTTTGTACAGTATCTTCACAATAAAAAACCTATTAAAAAGTGAATAGTCCTTTTTCTTTTTTCCAAAGGTAATGAAGTAAATGAGAAAGATGTGTAGCAGTAATTAAATGTGCTTCATAATCAATAACTAAAAGATTCCTAAATTTAATTTTCTATTTAAATATCTTACCTCATTCTCCTTGCTTTTCTTAGCCACAGATAAAATTTCCTAGAGAATTGCAAAAGTCAAATTAGTAATTCACAAGACTGAAGAAATATTTATTCTGTAGAAGTTTTACCGTGTTAAATGGGGCTAAAGCACTGAGATAAAATTACTCAATCCTAGCCAGGTGTTCACACCTGAATTTTTTTAGCTACTCAGAGGCTAAGACCTAAAAATCTTGGGCTGAAGGCCAGTAAGGGCTAACAAGACAGGAGAGATTTTTATATAAGGAACTGACAAAAGCATTGTCTTTCAAATCAGCTGACCATTTTTAGTAAGCAATTTGGAAATCAAGATGTTATTGAAATTTAATCACAAAAAATTATTAAACTTCTAGATCTGTTTATTTTTTTTAAAGCAGAGCTATGACTAAGTGTTAGAGCACACTAGCTTTTGAACACAAAAGCTCCGGGCCTGAGTTCAAATCTTAAAACTGACTCCCCCCCACCCCCAAAAAGGCCAAGAAAATGTAGAGTATAATAAGCAAAACACAGACAATTACACAGAATTATGCTCTCCATGTGAAAGCATTCTTATTCTAAAGCTCTATAGTGCCTGAACATTATCTTCAGATTCTCTTTAACCAGAGTTGTGAAGCATGTCTCTTTTCTTCTCCAGTTTCCTGTAATTTATATTTTACATTTAGGGTTGATTTTAAAATAAACTATTAACCAAAACTTTACATGAACATCAGAAAAGAATAGAATGTTTACATGTTGAAAAATTAAGAAACAGTAATTCTTACAGCTTTAAGGTGATTTAAACCTACAAGTTTTTACTCAACATTGAGTATTAGGCATCCTTACCTCTTTTGACATAACATCTGAAATGTTGTATGATTCATCTTCTCTTCCTCTTTTCTTTTTGACAACTATAAGAAATTATTTTATAGCAATTAAAACAGAAATATAAACACATTTTTTTTGGTCAGTCGTGGGCTTGTATTCCTCAGGGCCTAAGCACTGTCCCTGAGCTTCTTTTGCTCAAGGCTAGCACTCTACTACTTGAGCAACAGCACCACTTCTGGCCTTTTCTGTGTATGTGGTACTGAGGAATCGAACCCAGGGCTTCAGGCATGCTAGGCAAGCATTCTACTGCAAAGCCATATTCCCAGCCCTAAACATATATTCTTTAAAAACCACAACAAAAAAAATTTACCTGGATTCTCTTCATTTGCATCAATTAAATTTTTACCCTATAAAACAAAAATATAGAATGCTACTTTTACTTTATGGTACTGCATATTTAAAAAATACTGCTTAAAATGTACTTGAGAAAAAAAATATTCCAATCAGCTGAAGTCCAACCCCTATTACTCACTGTTATACCTACCTACATGTAATCTTCTATATTCCCTACACTAACTTCATGATTTTACCAACGGGCTTTACTTTCCCCCTTTTTTCCCATCAAGTTTAGAATTAAACGTAGAAAGCATTTTTAAAATGTTGAAATGCTAGGCACACCTCCTTTCAATGAACATTATATATTGGCATTGACAAGAGTACTTGGCTTAATTCAGAATAAATATTTCAACCAAAAAATACTAGTCTGAGAAGAGTAATACAAAGAAGATATTGTTAAGTTTCAGAATATCAGCAGGATAAGAATCTCATAGAATAGATGGACTGGGTACTGGTAGCTTATGCTTATAATCCAAGCTATTCAAGAGGCTGAGATCTGATGATTATGGTTGGAAGCTAGTGTAGGTCCTCCCCCCAAAAACATCATTGAGATTCTTATCTCCAATTAACCAGCAAAATGCCAGAAGTGGAGCTGTGGCTCCGGTGGGAGAGTACCAGCCTTAAGTGAAAAAGCTCCAAGATAGAGCCCAGGCCTTGCACAAAAAAGGATAGACAGGGGGCTGAGAAGGTGGCTCAGTGGTAGAGCGCTTGCCTTGCATGCCTGAGGCCCTGGGTTCAATTCCTCAGCACCACATAAGCAAAAAGAAAGCCGGAAGTGGTGCTGTGGCTCAAGTGGTAGAGCGCTAGCCTTGAGCTGAAGAGCTGAGGGACAGCACCCAGGCCCAGAGTTCAGGCCCCACGACCGGACCCCCCCCCCAAAAAAAAAAGATAGACAACCAAAATGACCAAGTAAAGTGAAAATTTTAAATTATATTTTAAAAGTTTAAGGATTAAAAAAGAATGCAACCCTCATGGTATAACCTGTTTTCACTGTATTTGATGTTGGTATAATTTGTGGAGGGGAAGGGAAAAAACAGGTGGACCCACTGCAACAATGAGATGTATAAGACGTTAGGTCGAAAATCCAACTTTACAACTTTGTCGTGGGGAGGAGGCATGGAGAGGAGAAACAAAGGAGGTGGCAACAATGCTTGATAAGAAATGTACTCATTACCTTGTTGATGTAATTGTAACCCCTCTGTATGGTATTTTCACAATAATAAATAAATACCCAGAGAGTCAACTGGTTTCAATGGGGAAAAAAAATGCAAAGAGAGAAGAACAGGCAGAATTTGATGATTGTTACTTTCAGACAGAAGTGAAAGGGTGAGGACATAATCCGGGTACAGATTTGCCTGGGTCAAAGTGAAGCACTTCTTTTAAATACTAGTCCAATAAAACAATCATAAAACTAAAACTAAAGATTAATTCCCAGAATTAGTAAATCCATCAAATCATCAGTTTTGAAAAACTGGTTTAAACAATATATATTTAACTTTTTTATTATAAAGGTGATATACAGAGGGGTTAGAGTTTATGTAAGTCAGATGATGACTACATTTCTTTTTGAAGTGTCACCTCTTCCCTCATTTTTTCCCAGTTCTTTCCCTCCTGAGCTTCCATCCCTGACAAGTTGTATAGTTCATTTTCAATATAATGTATATATTTTAAAGTATAACATTTATAGATTTTTTTCAAGGAAGTCAAGTTTTGTCATGATAAAAACTTATATTGACAATAAAAATATGGGTCATATTCGCTATTTCTTAAGAGGAACAGATTTTAAATCCTCCTATGAAGCTTGTAGGCTAATTAAAAAATTGTGAAAGTTAATACGAAGAATAAATTAAATAAGTTAATAACAAATAAGTGAACACCAAAAAGAAACTTCCCCAGTATTTAAGAAAACATAGAAAAACTATTTTGACTGAATAGGTGCTTGTCCTTCCATACTAAAGCATGTGTTACAACACACAAGGTCCTGACTTCAATCTCTGTCATGGGTATAAAAATTCTGGCTTATTGTATTACCTTTGAAGCTTTTAAGAGTTCTTTTTTTCTCTCCAGTTTCTCTTTCTTCTTCTGTTCCTGTAATATATTTTTTTCTTTGTATCACAAGTGGAAAATGCGACATACGAAATATGCATCTGAACGTAGTGGTACAGTATTAGGTGATAAAGAACGTATTAAATAAAATACAAGGAAGAACTATGCTTCACACCTTTACAGAATGAACAGTCATCCTCTTGCCATAAACAACTAAAAACCAAATAAAACATCACAAAACAGTTTTTAGAAGAACAGCAAACACTGACAAAGGAAACCAAACGAGGTACATCTTATTGCCCAGCTTACTGCCTGAAGGTAATTTCCAAGAACAAATAATGGAGAATCCAAACATAACTCAAGTTTCATTGACTCAAGGACTCAAAATTCAAAACTGAGGAGCTGGTAGTATTTCCAGAGTCAAATAACTGGAGACTGAGATACACACTTGGTGGCTCACATGTGTAATCTCAAACTACTCAGGGAGGTAGAAATCAAGAGACCAGCCAGTGCAAAAAAAGTTTGCAACATCAGAACCAGGACAGGTATGCTGGTATGTGCCTGTGGTCCAAGCTACAGCAGCAGCCAGTCATGAGAACCATGAGCCAAACACCCTATTTGAAAAGGAACTTAAATCTAAAAGAAAGGCCTGGCTCAAGTGGTGGAATGCCTAACTTACAAAGGAGGAGGCAACAATGCTTGATAAGAAATGTACTCATTACCTTGCCCATGTAATTGTAACCCCTCTGTAGGTATTTTCACAATAAAAAATAAAATAAAAAAATATTTTAAAGGGATTTATTGTATTTTCTTAATAAACAAGTACATAATTCTTCATACATTCTAGCAAGATAAATGGTACATACAATGATACAACATATCACAGTGGAGTGGGAAGATCACTAAGAAGGTAAAGGGGATCAAACAATGTTTAGTTGTCAGGGATCTCTCACTGAGATAATATTTTGGCTTGAAAAGTCAGTATTTTAGTTTGAACAGGAATCCTCAAATCTCAGTCTCCTGAGTAGCTAGGATTTCAAGTGTGAACTATCCAGGAAGGAAACATTTCTATACATTTACTAGTTTAGTACAAAGGAAATACTAGTAAAGACCTGATCAAAAGAAAAGCTAAGGCATGATGCAGAACTTTGAGGACCTCTCCAGTAATGTTACTACTAAGAACCTCATGTGTTGCCTAACTAGTAGTTCTTCAAGCCCTGTTCTCTTCTGGCTTTATAATTACATCATTTGTCACAAGTGACCAACTAAACCTTCAATATCTCTTCCCTCCCAAGAGTCAAGGAGCTGATCACTTAGTCCCAATACTCCACTGGCTTTCTAGTGACTAGTCCCCATTCTGAAGCGACCCAGGGGCTCATCAGCATACCAAGACATATAAACTGGATCCTGGTGCTGGTGTGTGTAATCCTGCTCAGGAGGCTGAAATCTGAGGATCAGGTTGGAAGCCAGAATAAAAAAGTTCATTTCCAACCAGAAATGGAGCAGTGGCTCAAGTCATAGAGCACCAGCCTTGAGCTGGAAAACAGTCAGGGACAACACTCAGGTCAAGTGCAAGCCCCAGTACAAGCACAGACAAAAAAAAAAAAAAAGTTGGAGATTCCAAAGACTTTAAAAACTGTGTACTCTGGGAAAGATATGAAACCAAATGGATATTTCATAATGATTCCATTTATATACTATTCTGGAAAGGAATACTGGTCCATACTGACAGAAAGCACATCAGTAGTTCACATGATTCACTGATAGCACAAGAGAACTTTTTTTTTTTTGGGGGGGGGGGGGGGGGGGGGGTCCGGTCGTGGGGCCTGAACTCTGGACCTGGGCTCTGTCCCTCAGCTCTTCAGCTCAAGGCTAGCGCTCTACCACTTGAGATACAGCGCCACTTCGGCTTTTTTCTTTTTGCTTATGGGATGCTGAGGAATCAAACCCAGAGCCTCATGCATGCAAGGCAAGCGCTCTATTACTAAGCCACGTTCCCAGCCCCACAAGAGAACTTTTAGGAATGGAAATGCACATTATCATGCTGTTGGTCTATACACTCATTGGTCAGAACTCATTATGTAAAAGCCTGAAATCTGTGCATTTTCCTGTACATACTGTAAGGTCCATTCCTAAATGGTGAACAGACCCCGCCCAGTACTTGCGTTACCTAGGCAACTGGGACACCTGGAAGAGGTCACATCTGAATCTGATGTGGCCATACCTTTCTCCCACCTGGTCCCACTTCCCTTTACCTGGACACACCTTTCCCTGCCCCTACCATATATAAGACCTAACCCAGGGCCAGACGTTCCCTTTTGCCAGCCGTGTAGAGTACCAATCTGGTCTGGTCCCAGCAGGTCTACTGAATAAACCTACTCCTTACCTGAATAGCATGGTGCTGTTCTTACTCAGCTACCTCTTTTTAAAAACCTAACACAGGCATCTCAAGAAAGCTGTTTTTAAAATATTTTTACATCTATTAGAGTTGATCCCATACACATACCTCTAACTGCTGCTGTTCCATTTTTGTCAATAAAAATTTGGAGTAGATGTTGCTTTTCTCAAGCAAATGTTGAAGCCTGCGATACCGAATTTCAGTGGATTCTCTGTCCCATGATATGCGGGCCTATCCAAAGAGAAATTTCTGTTACTGATAAAAATTTCTGACAACCCTTTAAAAAAAAAAACAGATTAATAAAAATAGCTAAACTGCAGCTGGGAAGGTGGCTCAGCAGTAGAGTGCTTGCCTAGCATGCATGAGGCCCTGAGTTCAATTTCTCAGCACTACATAAACAGAAAAGGCCAGAAGTGGCACTGTAGTTCAAGTGGTAGACTACTAGCCTTGAGCTAAAGAGCTCAGGGACAGTGCCCAGGTTTAGAGTTCAAGCCTAGGTGTGTGCCAGTGGCTCACACCTGTAATCCTAGCTACTCAGTAACCTGAGATCTGAGGATCATGGTTCAAAGCCAGCCTGGGCAGGAAAGTCCGTGAGACTCTTACCTCCAATAAACCACTAGAAAACTAGAAGTAGCACTGTAGCTCAAGCTGTAGAGCGCTCACCTTGAGCTGAAGAGCTGGGGGATAGTGCCCAAGCCCCAGACCAAAAAAAAAAAAAAAAAAAAAAAGCTAAACACTCTCTAGATTTATTTCCTGAAAGTAATGAGAAAACAGTTTAAGATTAACTTACTAATGATTTTTTCAAACCAAACACTAGAGCAGATAAGAAAATATTCTTGTGGATTGGAGGTAGGGCTCAGGTGGTAAGAGTACAAGCCAATGAGCAAAAGCATCAGGTACTGACTGAGTTGACACCCGGTCCAGGGCAAAAAAATATTATATACTATGGTGAAGCACTAGCCTTAAGCAAAAAGCTCAGAGACAGCACTCAAGTCCCAGCACTAGCATGTGTGTGGCACACACATACACACAAAATAATGTCACTAAATGGGCTGGAAGATGCAACTTGGTATAGCACCAGTTTAAGATATGTAAATACCATGGATTATCCCCACAGGAGGTAGGGACAGTAAGTAACTTTTGACTGCTACTTGATTTCATCAGCAATATAGTGTATATCATTTTCCCCCCCTTAAACTAGACCATGCATCTCAGGTACATGGCATTGGTCTTCTCTTCATTGTAACATAAAAAAATAAAACTGAAGATGAGACTACTCAAAAAAAGGATTATTTATCACTCTTATTCTGAAATCACATAGCCTATATTCCAATCTTGACTCTATCATTTCTAGTTATCAGATGTTAGACAATCTCAGTTTTCTCATCTATAAAACTAGGAGAACAATCTTTTCTGCTTCACAGAATTCTTTAGTTATCTTCATAGTTGGTACCAATTAAACTTAGTTCAATAATGGTAATGAGGTTAATAGCACTACCTCATAGAATAGCTAAGGAGCTCTCTCTCTATATATATGAGCAAATATATATAGCCTTTAAAACAATATGGGATGTAACAAACTTATGAAGCATTAACAATGCTAACAAATAATATGAAATATAGAGAATATGTGCTCATCACTTGATTGTAGAGTGCAAAATTTCCTACATTAAATAGTTTGCTTTATGCCGAGTTAATTCAACACTCATTTCATATTCATTTCCTGAGAGGCATTTTGGAGACAAAAAGTTCACAGGTGACTTCAACATTTAGTGTCACCAATTGCCTTTGTTCTGTTCGCTTGTAAAGTGATATTAAAGAGAATATTGACCACAGTAATGACTAGACTAATTAAACACAAGAAAAATCTCTGCTATAATTCTTTTTCTTGCAAATCAAACAAGTAATCCAGAGGTTTAAACTGCTTTTAGTAACATAGATCATTTAGTAAAAGTAAGAGATCCATCCCCAGTACTAGAACACCACAAATACAATAACCCCGACATCTCATTTTTAACCAAAGAATCTTATTTCAAGAAAACAAAAACTGGCTGACCCCTTAGGTTAAAAAAAAAAAGCACTAAACTAGGGGCGGGGAAAGCACTGGATTCCAGCCCAGCCGGTGACTGATAATACTAACTTTTACCACCATTGGTCTGGTAATTATGACTACAGGATTTCACGGATTGTACTTGCCATCGCCACACAGATTAAGAAGAAAATTAAGACGATAAGCGAAAACTATTAACGACCAAACGCATCCTCTGAAACACGTCAGGGAGCTGAGAGCACTTTAGGATGTCTCACAACTTCATCTCATGGAAGCCTCTCATTCAAAGCACGTGCAAAATGAAATGAGCAGGTGAGGGTCACGCCAAGAGGAGCTCCGTGAGCAGGTATTCACTGCGGGGAGGAACTGGGCTTCGGAATTACCTTCTCTAACAATTTCCGCTCTCGCTCCAGCCCCGCGGCCTCCAGCTGCTCCTCCTCCTCCAGCATGGCCGGGGTAATCACAGCAGGGGCCACTTCTTCAGCCATTTCTGGAGCTGGGGACCCTAAGAGCAGAGAGACTTTGAGGCCGGGGCTTTTCCAACCCGACGCCCCGCTTCCGCCCTTCCCACACGCCGAGTCCCCAGCACCATTCTCACCGACTCCGCAGGCGCCCGGCTTCGAGCTGGGGAAAGCGCAGCTCTCGCTGAGGCCTCCCCCGCCACGCACGGCGGTGAATCCCAGGTGTCCCCGGCTCCTCCGCCCGCCGCCCTCTCCCCCCGAGTCTCCGCTCCCGTCGGCTCCGCCACAGCCTCCGCGCGGCCCTCCGGACTGCGCCCCGTCGCCCACCGCCGGAGGGAAGCAGGGCCCCGTCACTCACCGCTGCTGCTGGCGGGCTGCTCCGCGGGCATGGCGGGGCACTCGCACGGAACCGGCACCTTAATCGCAGCGCCGAGAAGGACGCACTGGACTCCCTTCTACACAGACTTCTCGCCAAATACCCAGCTCCAGAAAAACGCGCGCTTTCATTTCGCGGGAAAACGCTGTCCTCTCGCGAGACTTCCCTCCCCCGCCCCCCGGCTCGCGGCGGCTTGACTGGCTTTGGCGGAGTTTGTGGAGTTACCGCTGCTGCGCGCACGCGCGCACTCGCGCCCGCCCGGACGCACCTCACGGCACTCCGGCAAACTGCGCTCTCCTCCAGTTATAGCCGTGGTCTCGACCTTGGCGCGTCTGTTGTCCTCTAGTTGATGAAGGTTCCGAACTGTTTAGCCCTGTAGTAGCGCCGTGAGCAGTTGGCCAGGCACGCCGGTACGGGCTGCCAGCGAACACCCACCACCCAGGACCTTCCAGGTGGGAAAGGTGTACGCGCATCCAGGCGGGGCGGTGAACGCCAGCCACCGCAGAAAAACCTCCAGAGACGACCCTGGTGAGGGCTGTTATGGGTGGTGGGAAGAGGGAAGGGGTGGGAAGTCACTTAGGCCCGGACACCGGTATGCACAGACGGAGATGTCACACCGCAGCTCCCACGCACAGCTCAAGTCCGTGCCGCCTGACGGCCGTCTGGACAGCTTCCTTCGGGAAAACGCCTAGCTTTGTCGAGCTGAGTTCATAGCCCTAACTGCACCTTCGTGGAAACTCTCCGGTCCCTCGTCCTTCCCCCGGCTCCCCGTCCCCCTCTTCCCCTGCCCCCCCCCCCGCGCCCCGCTCGTCTCCTCCCCCTCCCACCCACCCCCACCCCGCCCCCTCCAGCAGCTCTTTTGTGATTCCTGTTGTTGTTTTGTCCGGTGCCGTGCTGAGGGGAAATCGGGGCCTCTAGTAGTTTATGCAAGAGCGCTGCCACATATTTGTGATTTGTGTATTTCCTCCACAATCTACTTCATTCTCTCCCACATAACATTTGAAAGTTGGTGAATTTTCTGAGTAAACTAGAAATAATCTGAGTCTCGCCAGGAGCATGGTTTCTCTAATGAATCTTTAAATGGAAGATAAATTTGGTGAGGAATAGATGAGATTTTTTTTAAATCTCATTATTTGTATCTATAGCTGGTAGTGCCAATATTTGAGTAATACTAATTCATTCAGACAGTACTTATCACCAAGTATACAATGTAGCAGATGTCAGTGATAAATAAGATATAATAATCAAATTTGAAGCAGAATAAGGTCATGAAAATAGAAGAGAGATGGTTAAACGAATATCTTCCTCAGAGGAAGTAACACAAGGAACTGAATGAAAAGCATAAGCCATACAAAGACCTTACAAGGAACTCTTCAGAGGAAAAAGTAAGACTTTAAGTAGATGTAAAATCCATAGAATGAGAAATAGCAAGAAGCCCAATGTGTATAAAAGTGAACTTGGGCAGGGCATTATTTCAATGAGTCCTTGCCTAGAATGTACAAGGCGCTGGGGTTCAATCCCCAGTGTTCCAAGAGGGAGTAAGTGGCATTTGAAACTGGAGATGGACAGATCAGATCAAGTAAGACCTAGTAGACCAGAATAAAGAGCTTGGATCTCTTATTGTGAGGAATGCCACTAGAGTATCTTGAGCAGGAAATGATAGGATCTGATTATTTCAGTTATTCTTGGAGATAATGGAGTTTACATTCAGGACCTCTTATTTGCTAAGCTGGCGCTTTACAACTTGAGTCTATGTCCATCCATACTCCAACCATGGACTCTAGTGAATTTGTCTGGCCTTGAACTACCTCCTTCCAGATCTCAGCTTCTTCAGTAGCTAAGTTTACAAGTATGAGCTACCAGCATCTGGCTGAAGTTTCATTTTAAAGTTGAAGAGTAGAAATGAAAACAAATGTATACATCCCATTCATGTCAATTTTATATACTCCTTCAAGTCTGTCTTAATCATTTAGATTTTTATTACAAAAACGATTTTCCAAATACATTTATATAATATGAGTACAAAAGTCATTTTACTTTGTCATGACAGTTCTGTTTAATGTTCAACAAATGAAACACTTCTGCAATGCAGTTTTCTAAAAAGTTAAACTTCCTTCCTAGTATTTATTAAAAAACAACCCTAGCCCACAAAAAGAACTGTATACAATAAAACATTAGTAATTGGGGACAAAATGACAATATAAACAGCCACATGTTTGGAAAGAAAAGCAATTTTGCTAGATTCTCAAGTCTTACAACTTTATATAATTTACCAAAATATAAAGAGGCAGAAATTGGCACATAATCAGGGCTTAATAAGTGTGATTGAATAAATTCAAATTTCCTTATCATTTGCTTCTATTAGAACTGCACTTGTAAACAATATTTTTATAGAGCATGGCAGCTTCTTTTTTGAAGTGGCCAGTTTCCCTGATAAAATGAAGTGACTTCATTTTTCATATGCTGTGAAACAGTCAAGTTTTAATTAAGTAAGGTTTTACTATGAGAATTCATCTTTTAGGTAGTGATTGACAAACAGCAAAATTGGTCAATACATCAAATATCAATTTTTTTCTAGAGATTCTAACACAATTGATCAGTTGGTTATCAGTTAAAACCTAATAGATTTCCATTTTTGCCTCTTTAAAATTTTTTAAATCAAGCCTGTTACCTGAATATGCTCTTCATCAAGAATTTTATCTTATCCAAACAAAAATAGAAAAGTGAAAATAAACTAGGGCATTATTAAGTAAAAAAAATTAGAATTATACCCCCTAAATGAGTTGACTGTTGTAAATAAAAGCAGTACTAATTCCCACCCTACACGGAAAGCTGTTATCTGAAAGTCAGAAGCTTTTAAAATTTCAGTGTCACTTCACAAATGTTATGTTGCCTAACTTTTGTGTAGTCAAATATACTGAAACCAACAGCATTACATAAAGGTCATCAATGCCAAAGAAAAAAGCAAAAATCTGACTTTAGAAAACAAGTTGCTTGAATCTTTCAGTAGCACTTATATAATGCACTATAGCCTGGAATAATAAAGGAGTAATGAAAGAATAATAGACTAAAGGAATATGAAAGAAAAAAGCAACATATTTAAGTAGACAAGCAACAGAAATAACATTAAATTTCACATTATCTTGGATATTTTAGGAAAAATATATTTAACCAAAAGACAAACACCTGCGAAACACTATGTGTTTGCTTATGTATGAGGTTCAAAGGAAAGATAACAGTATAGTATTTTAGCTGCCAGTACTGAGTGTCTCAAAAGACTGAAGGCTTATTGCTTCCCTTGGAAGAGAAATATGAACACCCCATCCTACCTTTCCCCCACCAAAAAAAAAAGTGTAGGCCTGTTTTTCTCCAGATGTGGTTAACTAAATCAGGAATCTCCAAAGTAATAAACACTCACTTCAAATAACTCTGCTTATATGTTTTATTTACATAGCAATTGTTACTAGTGGTTTTTAGCGAACTCTTTATATTTACATTTTATATACACATTTATTTATATTTGAAGGTAAAGAAACTGTACAATAAAAAAATAAGAAAAAGAAACACAGTAACTTAGGTCTCCCTCAAGAAGCAAATACATAAAAGTAATATTAAATATAGGCAGGTAGTAAAACCTCAATGAGATTACTGCCAGAGGATACATTCCCTCTATCAGGGACACCGATACCAAGGAAATAGTTACCAGAGTTTAAAGGTCATCCTAAACCATAAAGACCCTGGACAATTTCCTCAATATGTTATTATATTACCAATTTCCACTGAGCTATCCCCCATGACAGGAGTTAACTTCTGAGGGTTCCACTAGTAGTCCCCTAGGCTAGAATGACCCATAGGGTAAAAATAAATGGGCACCCTCTGGACCCATACTCCTTACGAGGCAGTCACTACACTAACAAGGATCTCAGGCTTGTTAGTTTGAAGACTATACTATACTACTAACAGAAATTGTGTGTTTAAGTAGTTTCAAACCAAACTGTAACATAAAAATATAAACTAATTATTAACCAAGTGGTATGTTATATAAACTCAATAACATTCAAATGATTTAGTTTATGGTCAAAAATTCAATATAATAAATTCAATGTAATAAATTTACCAATATAATAAATTTACCAATGATTAATACTTTCCTTATCTACTATGCCATTAGACTCAGAAAAATTTTAATTTTACTCTTCATTGATTATAAAAATTATACATAGTGTTACACAAGTTATGGATTTAGGACATGTAAGATTTTAAATTTCAAACTGGAATTAATAAATTTCATTTCACAAAGGAGGAATTTATCTAGAAAAAAAGCAAAGTCTTGTGACACAGTATGCTATTTAAAAACTCAGAATTCATTACTTTTTATTCTTACCAATGAAATTAAACCTCATTTATATTTTTGGACTTATTCCCAAAGTCAAAACTTCAGTCCAATAAAGTGCAAAAAGAACTTTCATTCTATCAAATAGTTTGTTTAATACTAAATTATGAGATAAACAATGTTACACTAAAAAGGCTAAAATTCTTCTTCTTCTTCCCTTCAAAAACAAATAGAATACTGTGAGAAAACACCTTAAACAAACAAAAACAATCTCCCACCAATACTTCCAAGTTCCCAGATAACTCAAATTTTCCCCAACCTGTGAATAAAGATAAAAGAAATTCAGTGACAAATAATTTACAACCAAAGTTACTTATTCTTGTTCTACAATGTCTTCAAACAACCAAAGTTACTTATTCTTGTTCTACAATGTCTTCAAATAATCAGAAATGTAGAGAATTTCTACTCTGTAGCATTTTTGAGATTAGAGTAGTATATTTAATAATCTTCTCTTGACCTCAAATGTGTCTTTGTTGTAATTGTTGAAAAAGGAATATGCAAAATGATTTGAAATATCTCTGAAGCTATTAAAATTTTTTATTATTGCACTCAATTATAAACTCCAAATTGTAGAATATGAAATACCTACTTAAGATTTTTACTCTAAAAAATGGCTCTCCCTACAAAATAATTTTTTAAATTAATACTGTCAATAAATTACTTATTTACTTTAGACATGGAATTTCAAATGAGCACTTTTCCGCCTCTTGATTCTTTTAGATTTCCCACTTCTTCCAGCTCTTTACACAGGAAACAGACAACTTTTACCCCCAAAATACTTTTTGTATCAGTCTGCTAGAGGACTAACTTTTCAGGGCAGGGCTGCAGTTCTTGTCTCCTTCTTTAATATCCTTCATTACAGAAGCAAAGACCTGGAAATTTAAGTAAACTTAAGATTAATTCTCAAAACCTAGAAGAAATTTAAGAAACCCAGAAGAGATTTAAATAACTATAGCTCATAAACATGAAAAAGCTTCAGTGTACCTAATTCTGTTCTATGAAAGATTATCATTTTGCAGCTGGGAATGCAGCTTAGTGGTAGAGTGCTTGCCTAGCATGCATGAAGCCCTGGGTTTGATTCCTCAGTACCACATAAACAGAAAAAGCTGGAAATGGCACTGTGGCTCAAGTGATAGATTACAAGCCTTGAGCAAAAGCAGCTCAGGGATAGTGCCCCTTGCCAAAAAAAAAAAAAAAAAAAAAAAGGAAAGATGATCATTTCTTAAATAGAATATAATAAATTCCTTTAAGTAAATTTATCAACTGCAATATTCTGATGTTACTGCTTGATATCAGAACAATTTCTGGATCAGTATTGTAACATTTCATTTTTATAACCAATAAAAATATGACTATAATAAGCTACTTATCTGTATCATTGATGAGATCAAGTGATATTGCTTTTATGTAATTTAATTTGGACTGCCAGTATGTTTGCTTCCTATAACAAGACTTCATTGTCTAAAAAGCCAGAATTATATATTATATGTCTTTAATGTAAATCCTTGTTACATAGCAAGTTTGTTTTATGTGTGTATGTTGTAGTTGTTGTCGTTTTTGAGCTGATACTGGGGCTTGAACTCAGGGCCTCCCATTCAGTTTTTTTTCTCTGCTTACAGGTGGTGCTCTGCCACTTGAGCCATGCCTCCAATTCCAGATTTTTGCTGGTTAACTAGAGATGAGCCTTGAAGATTTATCTGCCTGGGGTAGCTCCAAATTTCCATCCTTTGATCTCAGCCTTCTGAGAAGCTATGTGTGAGCCACCAGAGAGTACCCAGGCCAGAAATTACTTTTAATTTAAACAATAACATATGAGAAATATCTATTATACAAAATGTCAGATGATTATTTTAACACATTTATTAGAATTTTAAACAAAAGGAAGAAAGAAAAAAAAGACTACCTGAGTCCATTTTTTGGTGCTATTCTGCATCTGAATGGCTGCAATACAGCTGAACAGCTTCTCAGATGTGATATCTTCTGGCAATTTTGTTAAAAACTGTGCTATATGAATAAAATCCATCTGTAGGAGAATATCTTCATATAACCGGAGGATTCCTAATCCAGTCCTAAATAAAAACTCCTCCCCATCTCTGCAAAATACATCCCAGACTCGACAAGCCAGATCAAGTGGTAGAGATTTGCTATATAGTGTGAAGATCCTAAAATTAGAGAGAAAAACAGTCACTGAAACATTTCATTCTTTGATTCATTAAATCTCTCTGGAAAAAAAGGATACTATTTAATTAGGGATAAAAAATTAATTAAGGACAGGGACAAGTGGCTCATGCCAGTAATCCTAGCTACTCAGGAGGCTGAGATTTGAGGATTGCAGTTTAAAGCCTGCGCAGGCAAGACAGTTTATGAGACTTATCTCCAATAAAAACTACCCCAAAAAACCAAAAGTGGAGCTCTGGCTCAAGTGGTAGAAGTAGCCTTGAGCAAGAAACACTTAAGGATAGCACCTAGGCTTTGAGTTCAAGCCCAGGCCTGGCACTGAAGAAACAAATGTTTCTCCCCTCAAATTTGAATAATAGAACATTAGGTATTAATAACAATGTAAATTCACAACCCAAGAAAATGTATGGGTTCAGAAACTAGAATGCCTAAGTTTGAATCCTGAATATGTCATTTGGTTATATGACCTTGAACAAGTCTCAATATGCCTCAGTGTCTTCATTAGTAAACTAAAAATAATAACATATCTATCTTAGGACAGTTTTGAAAATTAAAGGAGTAAATAAATATAAAGTGTTTAGAATAGGGTCAAGCACACAAGAAATGGTCAGACACGGGGGTAAAGCTCAGTCTTGCAAGAAAAATCCCCCCCCAAAAAATGTATGAAAATAAAGGCAAAAGCAATTATAAAACATCATATTTGATCATTATTATTTTACAATTTTTTCCTTTTTTTGGTAGTATGAAGATTTGAACTCAGGGTCTCATGATTGCTAGGCCTGGGCTCTACCAATTGAACCATGCCTCTAATACTCAATTTCAACATTTTATAGTAAAACTTAATATTAGCCAGGTGCTGGTGGCTCACACCTGTAATCCTAGTTACTCAGAGGGCTGGGCTGAGATCTGAGGATCACAGTTTAAAGCCAGCCAGGTCAGGAAAATCCAGAAGTTGGGGGGGGGGGGTGTGAGTACCTAACATACTAAAGGAGAATGCTTTGGTCTGAGTTCACGCCCCAGTACCAGCACACAGGAGAAAGTTAATATTAGGCCTGGATGCAGCTCCGTTTTAGCACCTGTCTAGAATGAAGGAAATATCAAAATAAATAAACATCAACAACAACAACAAAAAATCTTAGTATCTAAAGTTTAAAATTGTATCTATTTTTGACAGCCTGTCTTAAGATCAACTGAGTCATCTTTTTAGCAAAACTTACCTACCATTTTATAATGCACTACATACCAAGAAAACCCTCCAAGTAAGAACAGAAAGTCTTTAATTAAAAAAATGAAAAAAAAAAAACACACAAAACATTAGAACTGTAAGCAAGCTGGATAAAGTCTTGAAAAATATCTCTTACTGAAGAAACACTATCATTGTCCTTGTGTGCTAATAAAGGAATAATAACTGAGAACTTAATATGTGCCAGGTATTGAATGTGAGAATTCACTCTCAATACAACTCAAGATGCAGATCTAACTATTCTTTTTTATATTTAAGAAACTGGGTTAAGGGAATAGGATAGGGGTGGGAAAGATGGAAGGGTAACTCTGATCAAGATACACTGTACACATAAATGAAAATGCTAAATTGAACCTCTCTTGTACAACTATTTGAAGATAATTTTTTAAAATACAAAATAAAAATAAACTAGGAGGCACATACTTATACTTCTTGCTACTAGGGAGACAAATCAGGAGGATCACCAGTTGAGGCTTTTGAGAACTAGGTGTGATGTTGCATTCCTATAATAGGGACATAAGAAGGATTATGATGTGAGGCCAGACTAGGCAAAAAGCTTAAGTCCCTATCTCAAAAATAAATAAAGGAAGAAAAAAGGGGTAGGGAGGAGAAGGGGAAGGTAACTAGCGCATAACTCAAGTGAAAGTGCCTTGAGTACTAGGGGAAAAACTTTTGCATCAGTCTGATTTCAACCTGGTTCATCCTCTTAATCAAATACATCCCCATAAATATGTGAGTTTCTCTATTCATAAAAGAAAGTTCTTTTATATGTATGATCCAGTGAATGATAACTACTACAGCTACACTTTCTTTTTTCACTATTACTTATGAATGTTATGACTTACCAGTCTATTAAGTATATGTCTGGTGTAAGACTGTAAGATTTGAAATGAAGAAATAGTTTGGAGAGGTTTTCTTCAAAGAATACTTCAAATGTTGCAAAATATTTCAGCATCTACAGATAGAAAATCAGTAAAATTATAAAAGAAGAGATGGGAAAATTATATAAGAATATTCTAGAAATACAGAACTAAAACTTTATTAATAGAAAGTCTTGTTTGTTTGCACTCTGAGTATTATCACCAAGTATTCCTCACATTAATTCAATGAATATTTTTTTTATTGTAAGAATACCATACAGAGGAGTTACAATTACATGGGCAAGATAACGAGTACATTTCTCATCAAGCATTGTTGCCTCCTCTTTGTTTCCTCTTCCCATCCCTTCCCATACTTTCCCCTTCCCCCTCAATGAATATTTTATATTAGTCAGATTGTCTTAAGTCTTGAAATCATTGAGTTTTTACTCTAAAAGGAAGTAAAAAATACAGAAACATATTAAAACACAATTCCATTCCAAATGTTCATACCATGGTGTGATCAACACGGAAAAAGGCCAGTTGGCATGGCTTGTTCAGGAGATTTGCAAATGCAATGAAGGCATCTGCCTCTTCTAAATTGAGAATGAGTACTGCTGCAATGAAGGACATCCCTTGGACCTTCAAAAGAAAAAACAAATAAATTTAAAAGTGGTAATTCTTAATTGTACTCCAGAAAAATTACAAAGTGACATTACAAAGTAGAATATACCAAGATTTTTTTTCTTCTTAGCAAAGGTAAATAGAGAACTCATATAACAGTTATGAATCTCCCTCCTTTTATATTTCTTGTTCATATGATATAATGAAATTATTTTTAAAAACAGGAAAAAGCTCGAGATACTAGTTTTTATTCTAAGTCTGAACTTTTTCAAAATATAGTACAGAATCATAAAATTTAATGAAAATCAGGTGATTCATTATCCCAACATAACTGTTTGAGTAGAAAAATAGGTAACGAAGAATAAGTGATGTGCTGCTGAAATTCCAAGAGATAAGAGGTAGTAGGAGTTGAGACAACCAGAATCCTAACAAAAACAGGAAAAGGAAGTGGAGTAAAAAGCATTCCAAGATGGAAAAGAAGTATAGACACAGAAATGGGAATATCAGGAACAGCATAATTAGAATAGAAGATTTATAATGGGAACAATAGAAGACATTTGGCAAAAGTAAAATGTATTTGTATTATGAAAGGCCTTGAATAAAAGAATGTCATACAAACGTTTCCTTGTGAGATATTAGTAGCAATTGTACTTCAATTTAAAAAACAAAAAAGTACTTCTATTTAACATCTGTGTAACTGAGTTAAATTAGGAGACTAATAAGTATAATTGCAATGATGTGTCTTCTTCCCACCTACATAATTTGAAGTGTTACTTAGAATAACCATCTCTACTTTCTCAGTTCTTTCTCCCACCCCTTCTTTTTTAGATAGGACCTTGCTATGTAGCCCAGGCTGGCCTCAACTTTGTGATCCTCCTGCCTCTTCCTCCTGAATGCTGCAATTACAGGTGTGTGCCACTACAACTAGCTCTTTTTTACTAAAAAATACTTCACTATGGATTTCCACTCCATTACTATTACTGTATTATGTTGACAGTTTTCTTGCCAGCATGACCAATGGTATTTACTGTAAAATCCAGAGGTGGTTTCCTACCCTGAGAACAATGCTACCTTTAATATTCAACATTCCATTCAGTACTTCTTTGCTGTCCTCCTACTTCTCTGGCTTCTTCTGGCTACTGTTTGCAGATTAATAATTGCTTATTTAACTTTTTTTTTTTTTGTCCAAGTCTGGGCCTGGGCACTGTCCCTCAGCTCAAGGCTAGCGCTCTTTCACATGAGCCACAATGCCACTTCCGGCTTTTTCTGCTTATATGGTGCTGAGGAATCCAACCCAGGGCCTCATGCATGCAAGGTATGCACTCTACCACTGAGCCATCTTCTCAGTCTTATTTAACTCTTATTTAACTTTTTTTTTTTTGGTTGTGGTGCTTGAACTCTGGGCCTGGGCACTGTCCCTCAGCTCTTCAGCTCAAGGTGAGTACTCTACCACTTGAGCCACAGCGCCATTTCCGGTTTTCTGAGTGGTTTATTGGAGATAAGAGTCTCACGGACTTTTCCTGCCTGGACTGTCTTTGAACCACGATCCTCAGATCTCAGCCTCCTGAGTAACCAGGATTACAGGCGTGAACCACCAGTGCCCGGCTTATTTAACTTTTTATAATAAAAATTCCATGAGCAAAGACACGATAGTAAGCAGAATAATTGGCCATCCACATATGCCCATATCCTAATCTCCATAACTTGCGAAAATGTTACAATATATGATGAAATGTATTTTGCATCCTTTTGTGTCTGTCTGACTGTACTGGGGTTTGAACCGAGGACCTCATGCCCTTCCTCAGAATTTTCTTCCACTTACTTCTGAAACTCTACCTCACCTCCAGTTCTGGCTTTTTACTGGCTAATTAGACATACGAGTCACCAGAATTTGTCAGACAAGCTGGCTTCAAATCATGATTCTCAGATCTCAGTCCCCAGAGTAGCTAGATTATAGGTATGAGCTACTGACACCCTGCTCAGATCAAACTTGAGATAGGATAATTATGTTGGATCAGTTGGCACTAAGTAATCATCCCAAAGGACCTTCTAAGTGAAAAGAGGAAGCAAGAGATTCAAAGAAAGGTTTGGAATGCTACTTTCCTGGCTTTAAAGAGGTAGGGGCCCATGAGCCAAAGGAGCCAAAGAAAGCAGCCTCTAGAAGGAAGAAAAGGCAAGGAAATGAAGTCTGCCATGAAGCCTACAGAAGAAACACAGCCCTCTCAACACCTTGTCTTGAACTTAGTAAAATCAGTTTCAGATTTCTGACCTGCAAACTGTCAAAATTTGTGCTGTTGGAAGCCATTAAGTTTGTGGTTTTATAGTAATATAGAGACCAGAATATGTTTGTTCACGATTGTATTCTTAGTATTACAATATTTGCTGAATGGATATAAGGAGCCATTATCAACCATCTGTAATACAACAGTAGAAAACAAATAGAATGGATTAAAGCTATAATTAAACCTAAGGCCTTATTAGTTAAAATACTGTGCATACAACTGAAACAGAAAATGCTGCCAAATGAGTATGCTTTATCACTTACAATGTTTATTTTATGCATATGCTAAGGCTATTTAAAACATATACATCATATATCATACATGCATACATGCATACATGAAAGGGAAATAAAAAGAAATTTCTATGGCTTTTTCAGAGTTCATTTCTAAATATTCATCCACTTATGGTATAATGCATTGAAAAGGATTTATCATTTATGGTAGTATATCTGTCAAAAATGTCTAACTTGAATTTACCCATGAGAAAATCATAATGGTATTTTAATTCTATTGCATAATTTTAAGGAAATGTAAAATCTCCAGTGCTAAAACTTGAATTCTTTGTAAAAATTAAACTTATGATGAAGAATTTAATTATAAACCTAAACACATGGGATATACTGTGTTTTACTATTCTTTTGCAGAATATCTAAACAAGATAGTGTACAGTAATCTCACCTTATTCACCAATTTATTACATGTAGTTGATACAGCTCAGTTGATTTGGAGAAGCTCTCAGTCAGTCCCAGGTTATTGTTAGTTAGTGCTCAATCAGTCCCAGGTTATTGTTAGTTGTTTTTAAATCATTGTGTGATCTGCTTAGTATTTCCTACCCATAATTTTGTAAAATTATGCCTCTCAAAAAAGAAATTGAACCCAAAAGGCAAAGTGAAAGAATTTTAGATTTGTTCTAAGGCAGCATGTCTTAGCAGAAGTTGGGTAGTGTTAAGAGGAACATTAATCAAGCATGGGAAGGACAGTGGTGGTCTCCTTAGAACCAAATACCCATGGATGTACTCCAAACTATTCACGTAAGGACTACATGGCCACCTTTGAAAACAGGACAACCTGCCACACTCCAAACATAATTATCCCCCTGTACCATGCCATACTTTTTAATATGACATGATGTACTTGATGGTTGTTACTGTTTCCTCCTAAACTGGAAATATCAAGAATCATGTGGAGTACACACTTATTGTTCACTGAAGTAAATCAAATGCCAAGAACAATGTCTGGCATAAGGTAGCAGTAATAAGCATATAAAAATTTGTTTGCATATACAAACAAACATGCAACAGAATAAAGTTGTGCCAAACAATTATTTTAGAGAAGTCTCTAAAAGTCTTCTAAGATAAATGTAAGAAGATGAGGGTTTTATAACTTCTAGTAAAACATGGCACTATAATTTTTCTTTGTTCTCTCCCAAAATCCAACTAAAATGACAGTAAGGAAAAATGTAAGGGCCAGGCACTGGTGGCTCATGCCTAAACTCCTAGCTACTCAGGAGGCTGAGATCTGAAGATTTTGGTTCAAAGCCAGCCTGGGCAGAAAAGTCTAAGACTCATATCTCCAGTTGACCACTAGAAAACCAGAAGTGGTGCTGTGATTCAAAGTGACAGAGTGCTAGCCTTGAGTAAAAAAGCTCAGAGACCACTCTCAGGCCTTGAGTTCAAGTCCCATGATGACCAAAAAAAAAAAGTTAAGTATTACTTAGGAAGACAAGGATAATGGAAAAGGATATAAATAACACATTAAAGATATCAGTAGAATTTTAGAAAATTAAGTAACTAATGTTGAAATTAAAAGATCTTCATAGGAAGAAACCAATAATCAGCAAGCCAACTGAGCTACCAAATCCTGGGTCAAGAATTGAAGACATTAAGTACCTCTAAAAACAGGATTGGGTTAGCCTGTAAAAGGAGCAAATCCTGTCCTCTATTTTATCTGGACAAGTGCTTATCCTCCCCTTAATCTGGAAGAACATAAAAGATTTGTTCTATAGAGGCAGTCAGGGGAAAGAGATAAAGCACATATTGACAGTTGAGAATAAGTTTATAAAATGAATGGTGAGTGATCCCTAACAGCCATTTCAGAAAGCTGGTGGCCCTCTCATAAGCTCATGGCAAGAGACAGAAAGCTTTCTCTCTACATAAACTGAAAAGCCAAGAAAGAGATATACTTAATGGTATATCTGTAAACATCTAGGACAACATAAAGTATTTGATAAGAGTATAGATGAAATGATTATATGCAAAAACCACATTGAAACAAATACTTACATAACCAACATCAGGTCTGTAACAAGTATATGCCCCTAAGATACTATGTAAAACATCATGATATGGGCCACCCTTAGGAGAGAAAATGAAATTTGAAACTATGAATAATTGTCTCTCAGTTAGCATATAACATGTTAAAAACTGTAGCATTTCCTAAATGACTAGTTTTAGTGTATTTAACAATATCAAAAATATTCTAGAAGTATTCTATGAAGGTACTTTCAAAATTAATAAAAATATTGATCTCAAATAATAAAAAAGGAAGTCAAATATATACAGGGATATAAGCTATATAATTTGTGAACGATTTTAAAGAATTCTGGATCTGGCATAATAAGTAAATGGTAAATACAGATTCTCTTTTTTTGGTGGAGGAGATTGCTGGTGATTAAAGCCGGTGCCTTGCAGGCCCTTTACTACTGAGCTATATCCCCAGGCCATTTAATTAATTATTTTTTTTTGGTGCCAGTCCTGGGGCTTGAACTCAGGGGGTAAGCACTGTTCCTAAGCTTTTTGGTTCAGGCCCAATTCCACATCCAACTTTTTGGTAATTAATTAGATGTTAAGAATCTCATGAGCATTCCTGCCCAGACTGGCTTTGAACCATGACCCTCGGATCTCAGCCCCCTAAACAGCTAGGATTACAGGCCTGAGCCAATAGTGCCTGGCTCCATTTGATTTTATATAATGCAATTTCTGCAAAAGAAAAACAACTAAAAGATTATAAATTAAATTGTAACAATTTTAATCTTATTAAATGAATTCTATTAATGACCTAGCTTGCAGTATGAATGAAGTATTTTCTATTTTAATTGTAACTACAGAAAATAGCTAATTATTTTTCTTGTAAAATAAATTAAAAATAAACTTTAGGGGATAACTTCAAAATGTTTAGTTTGTGACAGAGTTAACTATATTTTAATATTTTACTAGGCAAAACATTAAGAATTCAAGTGGCATAGAATGAAAAGTAGAACAAGAAATACAGTGCAATAAAACTATATTAAATAACTATTACAAAGAGACATGTACTATACTAACTAAAATGTATTTTAGTCAGTGGAATATTAAAATTTTCTTTTTATATAAAGTGCCCATTTATGTATTTAGAGAATCTATCTAATTGGATATTGAAATACTTAAAAAAAAAAAATAGTTACAAGCTAGTTGCAAACCCTCACCTTCTGAAAGATGTAGAGAGATGGAAATGTACGGGATATGTCCAACTTAATTAATTCCAGACTGGCCTCTCGGTCAGCAACAGATATACCTGCATTTACCAAGTAGATAAAATTTAAATGATCACTTGGCTGTAACAAGTTCAATGTTGTAAACACAGAATGATCATATAGCATATGTGTTATTTATTGAAAGTAAACACTGAGTAATAAAAAATTTAAGAAATGCCATAGTTTTTCCTATAACTCAAAGTATTGTATAAGAAGAAAATGTCTATATATTTATTAGAAAAGTATACAATGAACAAAGTCTACTATAGATTTATAAAATGCAGGACAGACTTATCTTTCCCATGGTAAGAATTAGAAAAATATTAAAACAATCACAAATAACACATTTTAAAAATGACCTCAGAGTTGATAAAAGTCTAGAACATTTAAATTCCAGAAAGGAAACAGCCTTTCCTGTGTAAGTGGACACTAGTGGCCATTTTTCCCCTTTAGGGGCCTTTGTCACATCTGTGATTGGGTTTAGAACAGAGCTAGTACACTGTACCCTACTCCAGGAAAGAGAAACCAGGATGAGCTTTTCTGGCCAAATAGGGGTGATAAATACAAATCTGGAGATTTCTGTATCTGGTTTTACCCTATCTAGACTTTTCTCTGAATGCAGGAAGTCAACGTGGAAGGAAATTAACCCAAGTCACATTGTCTTTGGAAGACCTTTCATTGGAGAAGCCTAAAATCATATTCTTTCCAACAAGTAATTTGAAACCCCAAATGAACTCAATCTTTAGACATCTACAACCTCGTCTCAATTCAGCAATTACTGATGATAAAACCCTAATCCAACTGCCTATATATAGGTACAGAACATGCTTCCCCTGTACAGGACACATCAGCATCAATTTCTATACTCCTTTTCTTTATACTGTCTAGATATTAATTTTAAAAACTTAAAGATATGCAAAGATGTAAGAAATGTGACTTAATTAAGGGGACACCAACCCATAGAAGCAGACCTACAATTCTGTAATGCAGAATAGGAATTAATAGACAAGAATATCATCTGTTATTCTATGTTAAAGAAAACAAGGGAAAAGACAGAGAGAAAATGTATGGATGGAAAGCCAAAGAATTTACACAGAAATAGAATGTATAAAAACAACAAAGAAGACATTCTAAAATTACAAAGTATAATACTTAAAATTAAAAACTTAGATTTCATATAGTATGAGAGCAAGCAGAAGAAAGGATTAGTCCTGATCTTAGATTAGTAAAAAATCATTCAAATTAAAGCAAAGAAAAAAACAGTACAAGAGATTTGTTGGACATCGTTCAATGGTCTATTATGCACATAATTAGAATATGAGAAGAACAACAAGAAAGATGTAGTTAAAGCAATATTTGCAAAGCAAATGGCCAAAAAGTTAAATGATAACTGCAAATTTAAAATACTCTAGAATCTGGGAACTGGTGGCTCACACTGGTAATCTTAGCTACTCAGGAGACTGAGATCTGAGGATCACAGTTCAAAGCCATCCCAGACAGGAAAGGCTGTGTGACTCTTATCTTCAATTAACCACCAGAAAACTCTAAGTAGAGCTGTGGCTCAAAACTAGTCTTGAGCACAAAAGCTCAGTGACAGTGCCCAGGCTCTGAGTTCAAGTCCACAACTGACAAAAGATAAAATACTCTAGAAAGGAGAAAACAGTAATTTAGAATGCTGTTTCTAGCCAGGCAACAGCTTCTTACACCTGTAATCCCAGCTATTTAGGAAGCTGACATCTGAGGATCATGGTTCAAAGCTAGCCCAGGCAAGAAAGGCCCTAAGACTCATCTCCAATTAACCACCAGAAAACCGGAAGTGACACTGTGGCTCAAAGTGGTAGAGTGTTAGTCTTGAGTGAAAAAGCTCAGGAAAAGTGCTCAGGCCCTGAGTTCAAGCCCTACCACCACCACCAACAACAAAAGAATATTGCTTCTGACTGGAATAATTCTTCATTCAAGCAATTTCTCCTGAAGTCAAATTATTTATTTATAAACTATTTCATGTATTAATACTTCTCATTACAATTCCTAAAATTTTGCTTCTTTGAAACCAGCACAGAACTTCTTAGATCTTTGCCTTTCTTTTATTTATTAGAAGTTTTACTTTTATGAAGCAAAAATACTTTAAAAATTGTTCCCCATTATCCAAGGGCAACAGATAGTTGAATAAATCTACCCAAATTAATAAACTATGAGAGGAAAAAATAATGTTCCTAGTTACTTCCAAATGACTAGAAAATCAACTGGCAAGTATGGAGGGAGAGATGGGGCTATGAGTGAATTGCATAAGCAAGAAATAAGGAATAGTAAGAATTATAAATAATAGATTAGGGATTAGTCAATGGATGGGCAAAGATAAAGAGGTCATAAGTAAAATGTGAACTACACCTATATTTAAGAAAGAGTTTGGCTTAAATGCACTTTGTCAGATTAACCTCATAATTTAAACCTGGAGTACAACAAATATGATTTATACCTCAGCTTCTCAATTTATAAACTACTTAATTATTCTAAGTCTCGATTTCCTCTTCTATAATTCAGAATAATATCACCTACTGAAAAAGTTAAGAATAAATGATATAATATTTGTAAAGCGATTTTTCACATTTTCTGATTCATGGTATAAATTCACGGTATTATCTTCAGTAACTGGATTTTCATCCTAAAACGTGTAAAAACACAACAACAAAAAGGAGCATACCTTCTATATCATTATCTGAACTTGTTTCACTGAAGCTTTTCCATCGTTCTTTTGCTCTTGAAAGGAAGATCTCATAAAGTTCTAAGGAAAAACAACAACAAAATTTTATAAATAATAAGAAATATATTCACATTTTTCTCTTAAATCTTTACTATAGGTCAATTCTTTCTGGTTTATCACATATCAAAAAAGTAGCAAACTGCAGTATTTGATTTTACCAGAATTATTCATAATCCAATCAGAAACAACTTAAAATGAAAATACTTAAGAAGCCCAGGCAGTGTGTTGATACATATTGTAATATCAACTACAGATAGTGACAGAGATGGGAGAAATTCAGTTTGAGGTCAGCCTAAGCACAAAATTTAGTGGGATTCTTAAAAAAAAAAAGACAAAAAACACAAGTTGAACATGGTGGTACTTCCTGTAATGCAAACTATGCAGAAGACAAAGTAGGAGGATTGAGGTCCAAAATTGGCCTCAGGTGAAAGCACAAGACCATATGATTGACTGAGCACAAGTACTTGAGTTGAACACGAGGACCTAAATTCAAACCCTAATAATGATCCCTCACACACATGGTCATACAGGTAGCTACAATATTGAATGTATATGAGTACAGGAGACATGCTTCTGTAAAGGAAGTGCTATTAGGGAACAGCAGAAACAACTCTTGGAGGCAGAAATAGATTTGCATTCCAACTCTGCCACATGCTACCTAAGGAACTTTGTTACTTAATTCTGGAACTTGGCTTCCTTCATCTGTAAACTAGAGGAAATAACACCTACTCATACACTACTGAATGAGTATACAAGGTATTGTTATAAACAAGATATTTTATATAAAGCTTCTAGTATCTTATGTACTCTCAGTAAATGCTAGTTCTTCCTTTGTTTCCTTATTTTTCCAATGCTTCCTAAAACTATCTTTACTTCATACAGATTTGGTTCTTTAGCCAAAAATCCCTATCCTAACACGAGTCTTTCTGATGAAAATCTCTATCTATAAAAAATTTCTATCCTTTTCTTTTTACTCAGGCATCCTACCAATCACTGTCAGAGAATACTGCTGTTTCATGTTTGGTCTTATAAAACTTGAGGAACATGGGCTGGGAATGTGGCTTAGAGTTGGCTGTTTGCCTACCATGTATGAATCCTAGGTTCAATTCCTCAGTACCACATAAACTGAAAAAGCAGGAAGTGGCTTTGTGGCTCAAGTGGTAGAGTACTATCCTTGAGCAGAAAAAGCAGCTCAGGGATAGTGCCTGGGCCCTGAGCTCAAGCCCCAGGACTGGCAAAAAACAAAAAAACAAAAACTTTAAGAGCAGAAAATTCTCACATTTTTATTGTCTTACCCTTACAGATACTGGAAGATATACAAATAGTGAATTCAAGTGACAGCATGTCAAAAAATATTTTTAGTGAATAGTAACATTCATATATTGTCCAATACTGAGAAGAGTTTTTACTTAAATGGATTCTTTTTAAAATTTACAGTAAAATATGAAAGTATTATCTAAAATATAAAAACAGTATAAAATGGTAAAAAGTAAATTTCTTTCTCTCAGATGCAACTAAGGTTACTAGAGGTCTCATGAACTCTTTCAGAGATGGAGTATACATGCACTATTGTATACATAAAAAATATAAATAAAAACAAAGTGACCACATATTAAATGTACTGACCTGTATCCTATTTTGTGATCATAAAGGCTGTTCCTCGTTGGTAGATATGTCTTTTATTTGGATGTGTATGTGTATATGTATAGGTATACTTATATATACGTATATCTATATATACTTACAAATACATTTAACTATAAGTGTATGTATATGTGTACATACATAAACACATTTTAGTAATACTGTGATTTCAACTCAGGGCTTTGTACTTATACCTCAGTCCTTTCTCTTTTAGTTAATTTTAAGTTAGGGCCTCTGGCTTTTTGCCAAGTCTATCTTCAGACCTCAATCTTTCTACTATGCTTCCCACCTAGCTAGGATCACAAGCATATGCCATCATGAAGTTTCTTTGTTGAGATAGGGTCTTGCTAACTTTTTGCCCTAGCTGGCTTCAAACTGTATTTCTACTGATCTCTGTATCCTGAATAGCTGGGATCACAAGCATGTGTCATTGTACCCAGCTAAAAGATATAAATCTGGTTTTGGTCTTAAACAACTGTTACAGCATTCTAATGTATGAGTATACCACAAGTATTCTTGTCTTGGCCAAGAATCAGATCACTAGAAAATAACTGACTAGATACATTTCAAGTGATTTACTATTAGAATTTCTTCTTTTCTATTCACTATATCATTACTACCAAATAAAATTTTAAAAAGGAAAAAAAATTAAAGTTTCTATGCAACCCATGAATGATTTGGTAGAATATGTGAATATAATTTTAATTAATTTATTTTTTGGTTGGTTGTGGGGCTTGAACTCTGAGCCCAGGCGCTGTCCCTCAGCTCTTCAACTCAAGGCAAGCACTCTACCACTTGAGCCACAGCGCCACTTCTGGCTTTCTGGTGGCTAATTGGAGATAAGAGTCTCACAGACTTTCCTGCCCAGGCTGGCTTTGAACCACGATCCTCAGATCTCAGCTTCCTGGGTAGCTAGGATTACAGGCATGAGCCACTGGCGCCTGGCATGAATATAATTTTTAAATGTACATGTACAACTATATGAGGTTGAAAATATCAAATTATAAGTTCACATTTAAAATTTTTTTCAAACTCATTTTTAAGTTAGGTAAGTGTCATTATTCTTTCCAAATTTTACAACTGCTCTGGAAGTCAACATTTCTTATAGTTCTGGAAACCACAAAATAGATCGATCCAATATAAAAAATGGTAATGCATTTTAAAACACCAAAGAATATCTCTCCAAGGAAAATTTATAGTGCATATCTGTAATAAGACTTTCATCTCAGTTTAATTCCATACTTGGCTGCTCTTTTATTTTGAATCTACAAATGGAAAGCTTAAAGGCTTAAAGACAGTACCTTATAGCTGAACAGAGAATACTTTGATTTCAGTGTATGTTAATTTTGTGATCTTGTGACAATGATAGGATATTTAAGTTCTCAGCACAAAAGCACCTTTACCATAAATACTATACTGACTGTTATAAAAAGTACTAAAACAATTATTTTTGAGATACCTAATGGTCTTAGGTCCATTTTACAGATAAACTAAGAATTCTAAATGTTAAGTAACTTGCCCAAGGACACAAAGCATATATATATTAGAACCACCTCTGACTTGACTTTAGAGCCTTTACTCTTAGCTATTATACTCTAAATAAATTTCATGATTGAAACAAAGAGGGTTAAATTATTAGAGCCATTCAAAGTAAACAAGGCCACCAAAAAAATAAATTTACTTCAATCAAGTTTGAGCATCCTTACCACTACTAATGAAAAAGAAGAGAATAAGTTCCCATTCCATTCCTGAAAATGTCTAACAGAGAAAACACAAAATTACTTTGAAAATAAATGGCTCAGTTATGCTACCAGTTTTATAAATTTCCCTATTTAATCAACATTTAACCAAGCTACCTCACATTCTTAAAGCCAAAGGTATCAGTATCAACAACAGAAACAAAACAAACAAAAACTGCAAGTAAAAACAAAACTTTAAGTAACCAACCACCAGGCAATGCTTTTTTAAATCTAACCAAGTTCTGACTGCAACTTAAAAGGCATTTCCTTGCTGGGGATGATGGTAGCTCACTACTAGCTACTCAGGAGGATGAGATCTGAAGATTGCTTTTCAAAGCCAGCCTGAGCAGGAAAGTCTTTGAGACTCTTATCTTCAATTAACCTCCAGAAAGTTTGAAGTGGAGCTGTGGCTCAAGTGGTAGAGTGCTAATTTTGAACAAACAAGCTCCAGGCAATACTCAGGCCTTGAGTTCAAGTCTCAGGACTGGCACACACAAAAAAAGAAAAATTTTAAATTTAAATGAAAAAGAAGACATTTCCTTTTAATCTGTTGCAGGCATATTGTTTTATTTGAAGAAAATAATTAAGTCATATAGAATCTAATCCATGGCTCAAGTGGTAGAGAGCTTGTTTAGCAAGTAAAAAGCCCCTCATTCAAACCCCAGGACCACAAAATAATAATAATAGAATCTAACTTATTCTAAGAAAAATTAAAACCTGTAATTCTTCCATTTAACTCTAAATTCTTTGTAAAAGTTCTTTTAAAATGTTTATTTTTATTTTTTACAGGATAATTGTTAAAATCAATTTCAATAACATAGACAGTCATAATATCCAGTGTTTCTACTACTTTTTTTTTTTTGTTTTGTTTTTGTTTTTGTTTCTTTTTTTTTTGTTTGTTTCTACTACTTTTAAGAATAAAGATAAAGCTTGGTGCCAGTGGCTCACACATGTAATCCTAGCTACTGGGAGAAGGGAGAGATCTGGGGAGTGCAGTTTTAAGCCAGCCTGGGCAGGAAAATCATGAGACATCTTTAACCACTAAAAATAAAAAGCCTGAAGTAAAGCTGTGCCTATACTTCTAAGAGTGTTTAACCTTGAATAAAAGAAGGTCATGGATAATACCCAGGCCCTGAGTTCAAGTCCCAGGACCAGCATAAAATAAATAAATGAATGAGTATGTAAATAAGAATAAAAATAAATATTTTCATGTTGTCATAATTCTATCCAATTTCATATTTGTTATGTGCTGCAATAAATATTCTTATAAATTTTGAAACTAATCCAGCTTCTTTCCTTAGAGTAAATTCTTACAATTAAAATAGGGGCTGGGAAGGTGGCTCAGTGGTAGAGTGCTTGCCTTGCAAGCCTGAGGCCCTGGGTTCGATTCCTCAGCACCATATAAGCAAAAAGAAAAAAAAGAAAAAAAGCCGGAAGTGGCGCTGTGGCTCAAGTGGTAGAGCGCTAGCCTTGAGCTGAAGAGCTGAGGGACAGCGCCCAGGCCCAGAGTTCAGGCCCCACAACCGGACCCCCCCCAAAAAAAAAAGAAAAAAAAAAATAAGTCAATGGTTTTTTGACTTTTGTTAAATATTTCTAAATTATTTTCTGTTCTACCACATATAAATAATTCTTTACACTTCTGATTTCAGAGGTAATAAGCAATAGTCAGATATAGTTTCAATACGTATCTTTAATTTGGCTAACACAGTGAAAATAATTAAACTATATATAGTACAGCCAAATTGTTGAATACAATATACCTATAGTAAATATGAAGCATACTTATCTACATGACAGGGGATAATCCAGAGAGATTAGTAGAGGGAAAAAAGCCATAGACATAAATTTGAGTAGAAAAAATAAAGAAAAATAAAATCTTTAAGTTATCATATGTAGAAGGCACACATTTTTTATTTATTTTTTGTCGGTCTTGGGGCTTGAACTCTGGGCCTGGGCGCTGTCCCTCAGCTCTTCAGCTCAAGGCAAGCGCTCTACCACTTGAGCTACAGTGCCACTTCCGGTTTTCTGGTGATTTATTGGAGATAGGAGTCTCACGGTCTCTCCTGCCCAGGCTGGCTTTGAACCGCGATCCTCAGATCTCAGCCTCCTGAGTAGCTAGGATTACAGGCGTGAGCCACCAGCGCCCGGCTACATTTTTATTTTTAAATATTGTTTTTTAATTATAAAAGTAACTCAGGACCATAAAAGATACTGAATAATAATATCCTTGGTAATTAAATATATTTCCAAAATTCTACTTGATGCAAACATTCTTATTTGTGCATATGAATGATCCAGAAGATTACATACCAAACTGTTAACAATGCTTACAGTAAGATCAAAAACAGTCTGAATGGAAGACATTTAAAATTTGTATATTATTGCTTGCATTTTTAATAAATACAAAAAGAAAAACTTTAACAATGTATTATTTCCATTATCTGAGGCCCTCCTTCATTTTGTGGTATGGTTATATCTAACATTAATAGTTACCCAGATCAATTCAGCACCTATTTTGTTAATTATATTTTTTATTACGTCATTATTCTAATTCCACTTAAACTTTGTGTGTATGTGTGTGTTCATAGGTTTGAATTCAGGACCCTTGCACTTACTACCAGGCATTCTACCACTTACACCACATCCTCAACCTATTTTATGTTAGTTCTATTCTAATAGGGACTCATATTTTTGTCTAGGCTGACTTGGACCATGATTCACCTATTTATACCTACCAAACAACTAGGATGATGGGTGTTCACCTGCATATTTATCTTATTGGTTCAGATGGAGTCTAGCTAACTTTTTGCCCAAGCTTGCCTAAAACCTCTATCACAAATCTCTATCACTTAAGTGCCTGGAATTACATTTGTAGTCAATAGGCCCAGCTTATAACTACTCTACATTTTAGCACTATTTGTCAAGGTTTAAAAGTTCAAGAACTATCTATTTTGGGCCAGGCCATAGTGATGCATGCCTGTAATCCCAGCCACACAGAAGAAGTTGGTAGGACTGCAGTATGAAGCAAGCTCTGGACAATAACCATAGATATGCAATCTGGAAAATAATGCAAGCTCAAGTAGTAGAATATCTGTGAAGCATGTACAAGGCAAAAAAAGAAGACAACTCATTGAATTATCTAGATGTCAATTTGGATGCCAAAAATACTATTGCTGACTGGCCGCCAGTGGCTCACATCTGTAATCCTAGCTACTTAGGAGGCTGAAATTTGAGGACTAAGGTTCAAAACCAACCCAAGCTGGAAAGCCTGAGAGCCTCTTATCTCCAGTTAACCACCCAAAAACTGGAAGTGGAACTGTGACTCAATTGGTACAGTACTAGCCTTGAGAATAAACAAAAATAAAAAACCCTCAGACTCTGAGTTCAGGAGCAGCAATTTCAGTGGAATTAGAATAATGACATAATAATAAATAATTAACAAAATAGGTGTTGGATTGATCTGAGTAACAATGTTAATGTTAGTATCCACACCACAATTATTGCTGTGTATGACAGCTAATAGCTGTTATCTAGCTATCTGGAAGGCACAGATTAGAGGATTATGGTTTAAGGCTAACTTGGGCAAAATATTAGCAAGACCTTATCTCAAAGAACAAACCAAGTGTTGGTTTCATGCTTATAACCCTAGCTATGCAGGAAGTTAATTTCAGGTATGTGGGAGCAGAGTTAGGAGAATCAAGGTCCAATACTGGCCTAGATATAAAGTATAAGACCCTATCTGAAAAATAAAATGATCACAAAAAAAGAATTAAGAATGAGGCTCAAGTGGTAGAGTGTCTGCCTAATAAGCATAAGCCCCTAAGTATAAACCCAAGTACAACATACACACACAAAAAAATTCTCAATAGTTCTAAACTAAAGGAAAATCCACAAATATTATTTATGTAATATGAATATAATATAACAAATCATATAAAATAGGCATTTGGGCAGGCACAAGGCATGATTTTAAAATGAATTTACTTATAATAGTATCTTTCTTAAATGGCCACTATACTAATCTGCCTTATAAAATTCTGAAGATGGCAATCTATAGTGTGGGAATAACTGAACATAGAATACAAACCAGGAGTGATATTTAGTTCATTTCCTACAGCTAGACTCCATACTTTCCCACGAACACTAGGGGGCAATCCCTGCCACCACAATTCTCGAACTCTTCTTGTACTACGCCTAGAATTAAAGGAGGAGAAAAAAAGGAGAAAGTTATTTTTATACCCCAAATAGCAATTGCATGATGGTTCACCTATGGCCAAGTGATCAGATGAATTTTACAAATACAGAGAGTTAAGTATGTAATGAATTCTTTCATATAAGTTCATGATTATAGACCACAAAAGCCTATAAAGTATCTCAAAGAAAAACAATAATAATTTAATGGGAACTGTCTGAAACAATCAGAAATATGCAGTTGTCAAAAACAAGGACAATAAAGACAAAAAAAAAAATGTGTTGCCAGTTCAGTATCAAAAATAATCACAAAGAACTTGGTATGGGTAAGGCCCTAGTTTTGAGGAGCAGTAATCTGCTGAAAGAGTGTAGGCTTTAGAGTCTGACAGACACAAATTCAAACCAGTGTAGCCATTCACTGATTGTATAACCTTGGGCAAATCACTTAACTTCTATAGCCTTGAGCTTCTCTAAAAGATAAATGTGAGTACAAATGCATACATTTATAAAAGTTCTATTATAATTGCCTATGCAAAGAGCTTAGTAGAACACAGTAGTCTCATCTGTGGGAAATGCATGTTAAAATCCCTAGGAGGTGGCTAAAACCAGACAGTACTACATTCAACGTATACTACATTTCTTCCTTCACATACAGACCTATGATAAAATGGAATACATTAATTAGGCATACTAGCAATTAATGATAATAACAAAATGGAACAATTATAAAAACATACTATAATAAAAGTTAGGTGGATGTGGTCTGTCTCTCAAAATACCATTTGGTATGTTCACCTTTTCACTTAAATGAAGCACTTTACAGCTTCTCTTCAATAGATCTAGCTGAACTGCTAGCAACTTTACTCTCTTGCTTGGGGCTATTAAGTTTTTTTTTTAAATGGTTACTTGAATACAGGCACTGCAACACCTGATGACTAACAGGCAGGTAGTATTTGCAGCATAGATAGGCTACAGAAAAAGGGGTGATTCCCCACCAGGTGATAGGAGTAAAGCAATATGCTTCTGAGAATAATGCACAATTTAAAACTTACGTGTTGTTTATTTCCACTTAGTATTTTCCAACCTCAGTGGACCACAGGTAATTTTAAAACTTCAGAAAACAAGATTGTAAATAAAGGGGTATCACTGTGTTGGCTGTATTTCCAAAATTCAAAAAATTGTCTAAGTATATCCTATACTAGGCATTGCAGACTTTATCCCCAATTAGCCCAAAGGAAAAATAAAGCATATACAAAACTTATCCCAAAAAAACGCAAATTAAAGCAAGAAGTACATTAGTCTTAACATAAGACAATAAGACATTTTAAAAAAAGCAAGATCAGGGCTGGGAAGGTGGCTCAGTGGTAGAGCGCTTGCCTTGCATGCCTGAGGCCCTGGGTTCCATTCCTCAGCACCACATAAGCAAAAAGAAAAAAGCCGGAAGTGGCGCTGTGGCTCAAGTGGTAGAGCGCTAGCCTTGAGCTGAAGAGCTGAGGGACAGCGCCCAGGCCCAGAGTTCAGGCCCCACGACCGGACCCCCCCCCAAAAAAAAGCAAGATCAGACATATTTTAAGAGGCATTTAAAAATATTTTAATATTTAATCTTTCAGTAATTCATTTTATAATGTATATGTACATATAGTGAGCTTTTTCTGGAAACCTGCTATTATATTAATGGTATATCTCATAATGCATGGTATGTTAGGATTAGGAAAATATATAATTGAGGAGACTAAAATTTTCATGAATCAACTTGCATTTCATATGGGTCTCAAATATAGGTAAGATTTCAACAGGCACAGATATGGTCTGTAAGAGAAATACGTAACTGCACTTGATGGATGGAAAATGCACAGAGATAAACATGGCGATTTTCAGGTTAATAATACAGTTCATTCAAAGGTAAGATAAATGCTAGAAAGTAACAAAATACTAAATTGGAAAGATGAGAACTCTGGAGACAAACTAAACTTCGGGAAAAGTCTTCTTACTTACATCACTTCCCAATTGGGCAGTATTTCATTGATCCAAATTACCATTGCACTTGCAATGCTTTCTTCCTGTTTAAATCGCTCTTTCATTATTCTTTTTCTTTTATGTGCTTCTTTGATTTCTGTTTTAAACAAGGAAGAATTATTTCAATACGAATGACTTACAGCAAAACCTCCTTCTTCCTCCTCCACTTAACTCTTCAAAAGAGACATTTTCAAAAAGAATATTCTGCCAGGCACCAGTGAATCACGCCTGTAATCCTAGCTACTCAGGAGGCTGAGATCTGAGGACTGTGCAGTTCAAAACTAGCCTGGGCAGGAAAGTTCATGAGACTCTTAACTCCAATTAACCACCAGAAAGCTGGAAGTGGAACTGTGGCTGAAGTGGTAGATTGCTAGCCATGAGATAAAAAGGTCAGGGATACCACCCAGGCTTTGAGTCCAAGGCCCAGGACTGGCTCTCTCTCCCCTCAAAAAAGAATCTTCTGATAATAGAGATGAAGAATGGGACAGGAGAGAAAAGGGGAAGAAAATTACATTGAGTAACAAAATTTTTAAGTAACATTTTATACTCCACAAAGTAAATGGAAAAAAGGCCAGGAAAATTATTTTAATAAGTTACCATACGAAATAGTTCTGTTTTCATTAAATCTATGAAATAAAATCTCTTATGGATTAACTAGATTAAAACAAACAACTATAAACAAATTACCAGTCCATTTTTCATAGATGTTTAAAACTTTCATAGAGGTTTCAAGAGGTTTATAACTGTCTTAACATAACCCATGCAACAGGTCAGGCTGGAGGTGAGGGCACAGCAGTAGAGCACCTTCGCTGCAAGCATGAAAGCCCCAGGTTTAATCTCAGTACTGCCAACCATTTTTTTGGCCAATGATATTTAGTATTTTAATTATTTTAAAGTATAGTGTTTCACTTTACTAATTCCATTGAAATAAAAAAATTCTTCCCAACAAATACATGGATATAAAAAAATCCTCTGAAATCAGAGGTCACAATTTGAGAATAAGATGTGTCTCAAGTACAGAGAGAAGTAAATTATAAATCAAGTCATATATATTTTACATTATTTACTTTATTGTGCAAGCATTAGGGCTTGAATTCAGGACCTGAGTGCTGGTCCTAAGCTATTTTACTCAAAGCTGGCACTTTACCACTTGAGAGACAGCTCTGCTTCTGGCATTGTTTTTTTTTGTTGTTGTTGTTTTTTGGGTCCGGTCGTGGGGCCTGAACTCTGGGCCTGGGCACTATCCCTCAGCTCTTCAGCTCAAGGCTCGCTCTCTACCACCTGAGCCACAATGTCACTTCCGGCTTTTTTTCTTTTTGCTTATGTGGTGCTGAGGAATGGAACCCAGGGCCTCAGGCATGCAAGGCAAGCGCTCTACCACTGAGCCACCTTCCCAGCCCTTCTGGCATTGTTTGTTTGGTGATTAATTGGAGGTAAAGAATCTCATGAACTTTCCTGCTGGGGATGGCTTCAAACCTCCACCATCAGCCTCTTGTGTAGTTAGGATTACAAATGCAATCAGCGCCTGGTGAGTTGTATCATTTTAGAGCCACTGGGGGATTTTGTAGGACTAGAACAACTACCCCAATTATTTTCAAATTTTATTTCATAAATGTCTCAGAAACTGTCTTAAGGGGAAAGCAGGGAGCTAAGTAAGTAAGCAATTCCACTTTTCTTCTGTGTATTCAAGTTCTGTGTAAGATGACTTAGAAAAAGTTGTCATTGTTGTTTTTAAAAAAAGAATGGGAAAGTGGCTCAGTGGTAGAGTGTTTGCTTTGCATACATGAGGCCCTGAGTTCAATTCCTCAGCACCACATAAGCAGAAAAAGTCAGAAATGGCACTGTGGCTCAAGTGGTAGCACGTTAACCTTGAGCTGAAGAGCTGAGGGACAGAGCTCAGGCCCCACGACGGACTAACTAACTAAATAAATAAGTGTTGAAGGGGCCTTTAAAAACCTAGTTAACTTCTTCCCATACTTCATAAAAGAACACAAACACTAGACCTAGTCAAATTATCACAGGCAGGTAGTAAGAAATAGGATTAAAGTTATACTCTTCTTATTTCCCAATTTAACATACTTTCTATTGTACTATATTTTTATGATCACAAATTTATCAATAAATAAATATAACCAAATAGTAAAGTCAATCTTAATCAATAAACAACTATTAGCCGGGCGCTGGTGGCTCACGCCTGTAATCCTAGCTACTCAGGAGGCTGAGATCTGAGGATCGCGGTTCAAAGCCAGCCCGGGAAGGAGAGACCGTGAGACTCCTATCTCGAATAAACCACCAGAAAACCGGAAGTGGCACTGTAGCTCAAGTGGTAGAGCACTCTCCTTGAGCTGAAGAGCTGAGGGACAGCGCCCAGGCCCAGAGTTCAAGCCCCACGGCCGACAAAAAAAATAAATAAATAAACAACTATTGTGTATGTATGTTACAAATATTTCAAAGTCTGAAGAAAAAAAACAAATTCAACTAATGTTTTAGAATAATAAAATTAGCTTTATGAATCTGTGTATTCCAACATTAAAGAAATAACTTCATTTCCAGTATAGTAACAAAAAGCAGAACTGTACACTGTTATCCCACTCACTTACATTGAATTGAAGGGAAAAACAATTGTCAATATGACATAGTACTAAAAATGAGCAGTACTTTCTAAAAATGCACACTTATCCTAAACTAACAATAGTCCGTAAATACTGTCAAATTCAGTTTTCGGATAATTCACTATCAAACTTCCTATTAAAATTAAGTTCTTAAAATCAGGCAATTAACAATTTGAAGCTAAATCTTATACCTCTTTTTTTAGCCTCAGCCACCATTTCATCATATTCTTGTCGGTGGCGTAAAGCTTCTTCCACAGATTTAGCAGGAAGATTTCTACAAAATAGAATACAATTAAGTCAGTTTTTAAAACATTAACTTTTAACATTCAGAGTCTGATTCAAAGAATTTCTAATCTGACCACATTTCATATATTCAGAAAGTCTAAAAGAATCAGAATTGAACATCCTAGTATTTATTGTATAAAAGTATATAAAAGATTTATACTTCATGCATCCATCAACTATTACATATTTAAACATTTCAGATCAAAGTCAGTATTTTTGGTTTTACTCTAAATATACTTATTAGTTTTCCTTTTTGTTCTGTGTGTTGGTCCTAGGTATTGAACTCAGGGCCTAGGCACTGTTCCTGTCTTTTTGCTCAAGGTTAGTGCTCTATCACTTGAATCACAGGTCGACTTCCAGTTTTTTGATAGTTAATTGGAGATGAGTCCTGTGGACTTTGCTGCCAAGGCTAGCTTTGAACATGATCCTCAGATCTCAACCTCCTGAGTAGCTAGGGTTATAGGCATGAGCTACCCAACTCAGGGTCTTTTCTTGCTAGGTAAGCATTCTACTACCACTTAAACAATGTCCTCACTTTTTAGCTTTTTTTTATTTTTTTTGTCTTGGGTTTTTCCCAGGGCCAACCTCAGGACATGACTCTTCTACCTATGATCTCTAGCATAGCTGTAATACAGGAACGAACCACCATGCACAGCTTGTTTGCTGAGATGTGATCTTGATAACTTTTTGCCCAGGCTGGCCTCAAACTGTGATTCTCCTGATCTTTGTCAGCTGAGTAGTTAGGATTACAGGCATGAGCCACTATACCTCATTCCCTGGACTGTACTTCTGTCTATGTAACTTGTATTATAGGCATATGACACCACATCCTGCTTGTTTGTTAAGATGGAGCTTTGGTAATCGCTAATACTTACGATGGTCGATCCTCAAGAATCAGGGCTGTGGTAGAAAGTGGCTCAAATTCAAAATTTTTACGTCGTGAAGACTGAGGTGGTGGTTTACATGTCCTTCCTGTTCGTGCTTCATATTCCTATGGTAAATATATGCATATATATAATCTAGGTAGAGATTTTTCTCTCAGATTATCAGCTTGTATTATTAAATATCTATGTCATTAAGAATATCATGGTATAAGGAATATATATGCACAAATTATACACCAATTTTATAAAAATCTCAGGTAGACAAACAAGTTTCTTTTTCTTTCAGTAACCTAAACAATGAAATTATATTACATAAAAAGGTAGACAGTGGGTTGAAAGAACAAATATTAATGTCATAGATTAACTACGAAAGTTTTAAAGGACACATATTTTAATGGTATCAGCTATCCAAATCCATACTCAAAAATCCATACTCAAATAACCTATGTGTAGTCTTCAACTATTGGTACTGGGAAAACTGGGCAGCCACATGTAGAAAACTAAAAGTGGACCTCAGCCTGTCACCCTGCACTAACATCAACCCAAAATGGATTAAAGGCCTCAACATCAAACCTGAAACTCTGAAAATACTGCAGTACAGAGTAAGAGAAACACTAGAACTTACAGATATAGGCAGGAGCTTCCTGAACAGAGTTCCAGGTCACACAAATTGGAGAGAGACTTGACAAATGGGACTACCCTAAAATAAAAAGTTTCTTCACGCCGGGCGCTGGTGGCTCACGCCTGTAATCCTAGCTACTCAGGAGGCTGAGATCTGAGGATCGCGGTTCAAAGCCAGCCCAGGCAGGAGAGACTGTGAGACTCCTATCTCCAATAAACCACCAGAAAACCGGAAGTGGCGCTGTAGCTCAAGTAGTAGAGCGCTCGCCTTGAGCTGAAGAGCTGAGGGACAGCGCCCAGGCCCAGAGTTCAAGCCCCACGACTGACCAAAAAAAAAAAAAAAAAAAGTTTCTTCACAACAAAAGATATTCCTACCAAACTAGAAAGACAGCCAACCAATTGGGAAAAGATATTTACCAGCAAAATATCAGACAAAGGCCTACTATCCACTATACACAGGGAACAAAAAACTAATCCCTCCCAAATCTAACAAACCAATCATTAAATGGGCAAGGGAACTAAAGAGAGACTTCTCAGAAGAAGAGATAAAAATGGCAAAGAAACCCATGAGGAAATGTTCATCATCCCTGGCTGTAAAGGAAATGCAAATAAAAACAAGACTGAGATACTACCTTACCCCAGTCAGATGGCCTATATCCTAAATTCAGATGACAAATGCTGGTGGGGATGTGGAGAAAGAAGAACCTATTGCATTGCTGGTGGGAATGCAAACTAATACAACCACTCTGGAAAGCAGTCTAAAAGGTTCCTCGGAAAACTAAATATAGACCTTCCCACAAAGCCATACCACTCACTCCTAGGCATCTACCCTGACCAACAGGAACCAGGATACAAGGACACATGCACCTCCATGTTCATTGCTGCACTTTTTTTTTTTTTTTTTTGCCAGTCATCGGGCCTGAGCTCTGGGCCTGGGCACTGTCCCTCAGCTCTTCAGCTCAAGGCTAGCACTCTACCACATGAGCCACAGCACCACTTCTGGCCATTTCTGCTTATGTGGTGCTAAGGAATCGAACCCAGGGCCTCATGCATGCAAGGCAAGCACTCTACCACTGAGCCACCTTCCCAGCCCCATTGCTGCACTTTTCACAATAGCTAAGGTATGGAAACAACCCAGAGGCCCCACTACAGATGAATGGATCCAAAAATTGTAGTACCTATATACAATGGAATACTATGTAGCCATTAGAAAGGACAAAATAATGGCATGAAATGGATGAAACTAGAACTAATCATGTTGAACGAGATAAGCCAAGATCAGAGAGACAAATGGCACATGGTCTCCCTGATATGCAGATGTTAAATTCAAAATGCAAGGAGATATGACAAAGTCAATAGGACTCAAGAAACAAATGACCTCTTCTTAATTTGTCGTATTGTTTTTAGATGACTCCATATTCTTGACCTCACGTATAGTATATACATGTGCACATTTGAGGGAAGCTAGGAGAATGGTACAGAATCAGAGGGAAACGGGAAAAAACATAGCAGAGGGGCCCATCAACTGCACTGGACATTAATGAAAATGAACTAAGCAACTCATGAGCAGCAATGGGAGGGAGGGAATGAGAGAAAAAGAGGGAACAGCTTACACTAAGCAAAAGGAAATAAATGTATGTATCACCCGATTTGGGAAAAATGGCTGTTGTGTCAAAGTTTGTAGAGTCCATAAGCTTTACAAACCATGATAATGACAATGCTCCTTGTGAAGGTTAAAATGTGTTTGTGACTTTAAGTATATCACTATCCCATAATACTGTGAAATTTCAATAAAGAAAGAAAAAATAATCTATGAGTAAATCTTTATCTAGATCAATGATGGAAATGCTGAGATAGATAATTCCACTATAATGCTCAGAAGATCTCTCACAAGGCTGACACTGAACCTCTAATCAAATGGTTGTTTTAGCCGGGCACGGTGGCTCACGCCTGTAATCCTAGCTACTCAGGAGGCTGAGATCTGAGGATCGCAGTTCAAAGCCAGCCTGGGCAGGAGAGACCGTGAGACTCCTATCTCCAATAAACCACCAGAAAACCGGAAGTGGCTCAAGTGGTAGAGCGCTCTCCTTGAGCTGAAGAGCTGAGGGACAGCGCCCAGGCCCAGAGTTCAAGCCCCACAGCCGACCAAAAAAAAAAAAAAAAAAAAAATGGTTGTTTTATATTTCAATCTGCTATGGTTAGCTACACTAACTTTAGAAACTCTGCCAACACATCTTACACAAAAGTATGACCCAAAACTCTGTCATATGTTTCACTACATTAAGAAAATATTTTTATATTTTTCTAATTTCATTGAGCAAAATTCTATTAAAAAGGATGAAGTTAACTGGACACATTTAATGTTCCAATTTGAGCACTCTTTCATAAATATTCACTTTTTTCTCAGTACTGGAATTTGAACCCAGAGCTTCACACTTGCTAGACATGTGCTTTACCACTAATGCTATGTCCTCCAGCCCCCTTTTTTTCTTTTTTTCATTATTTTTCAGATATGGTCTGGAATATTTTTGCCAGGGCTTTCCTGGACCAAGATCCTCTTACTTAAGCATCCCATATGGTTGGGATAAAAAACATGGGCAACCATGACCAACTTTTTATTGTAATATACTACTGACAACTTTTTGCCTAGACTGGCTTTGAATTAATATCCTTCTACAGCCTACCTCCTGAGTAGCAGAGATAACAGGTATGAATTGCCGTACTTGTCCTAAATGTTCACTATATGAAATTTATTTCTAGAATTTCATCAAATATCAGTAACAAGTTTGCTGATGTATAATTCCCAGAACCACATCTTCCTTCTTTATAAAAAAAAAAATCTTACAGGGACTTAGGTAGCTCATGCCTGTAATCTAGCTACTCAGGAGGCTAAGATCTGAAGATCATTATTCCTAGCCAGCCTAGGCAGAAAAGTCCCCATATAACTTTTATCTCTAACCACTCAAAAAATGAAAAGTGGAGCTATGGCTCAAAGTGGTAGAGAGCTAGCCTTAAGCAAAAGAGCTCAGAGACAGCCCCACAACCAAACAAAACAAAAAAGCCAAAAGTAACGCTGTGGCTTAAGTGCTAGCCTACCTTCCATTGGCTGGAACCATAGAGTGGGGATTTTATAGAAAATCCTTAAGGCAATTTAGGTTGTTTTTAAAAAATAATCTCTCAAATAAGATTAAGTTTTGTGTGTGTGCTGATTCTGGGGCTTGAATTTAGGGCTTGGATACGGTGCTTGAACTTTTTGTGAAGGCTACCACTTAAAGTAAAGCCATAGCTTTATTTCTGGCTTTCTGGTGATGAATTAGAGATGAGTCTCATAGACTTCCTTATCCAGGCTGACTTTGAACCACAATCTTCAGATCTCAACCTACTGAGTAGCTAGGATTACAGACATAAGCCACTGTCATTCATTTATAGAGAGCCAGAACAATCTTTCAGAAACAGAACAAACTCCTTATCTCTATTTTAAGACCATGTTTGCCCAAGATGAAGGAACTCTAATACAACTGAATCACAGCCAGAGAAACTACCATGCTTAAAGCAGAGAGAGTGTAGGTGCCTAGGTCAGACACAGTGGTTCATACTTCTAGTCTCAGCTACTTGGGTGGTAGATATTAACAGGATCACAGTTTGAGGCCAGCCTAAGCAAAAAGTTATCAAAACCCCATCTAACCAATAATGTGGGCATAATAATTCATACCTGTGACCCTAGCCATGCAAGAGGCATATAATCCTTTAAAAGCTATAAGAAACTTCAAAGCTATATCAATACTTACCTGCTGAATGATTTTGGAAGTTTTTTGGAGATTCTCTCTGGGAGGGACTTTTCCAAATAATTTCCAACCAGGCGCACTATGAACAACTGATTTGAGTTCCTTTGTCCTTTTTAGAAAAAGATTTCTGAAACACAAAAAAAGTTTCACAAATTTTGTATTTTGTAATCCGGGAGCAACTAAATAATAATTGTTGAAGTTGGGGCTGGGAAGGTGGCTCAGTGGTAGAGCGCTTGCCTTGCATGCCTGAGGCCCTGGGTTCGATTCCTCAGCACCACATAAGAAAAAGAAAAAAGCCAGAAGTGGTGCTGTGGCTCAAGTGGTAGAGCGCTAGCCTTGAGCTGAAGAGCTGAGGGACAGCGCCCAGGCCCAGAGTTCAGGCCCCACAACCAACCAAAAAAAAAAAAAATCATTTCTAGCCAGGCACCAGTGGCTCTGGAATCCTAGACACCAAGAGGATGAGATCTGAGGATTACAGTTTCAAACCAGCTGGGTCAGAAAAGTCTATGAGACTCTTATCTCCAATAAACCACTAGAAAACTGGAAGTGGCACTATGGTTCAAAGTGGTATAGTGCTAACCTTGAGCAAAAAAGTTCAAAGACAGGTCCTGAATTCAAGCCCCACTACCAACAGAAAAAAAGTATTTCTACTATTTATATTAATACTGGTTTAGGTGAACATGCTTCAGTTAGGAGTACCTGGCTTAGCTGTGTGCCATTGACTCACACTTTCTAATCCTAGCTAATCAGGAAGCAGAGATCAAGAAGATTGAGGCTCAAGTCTAGCCCGAGCAGAAAAGTTCAGAAACCCCATCTCCCAAACAACCACCAAAAAGCCAGGCTAGAGGCATGGCTCAAGTAGGTGAGTGTCAGTCTTAAGCTAGCACAAAGCCAGTAACAGAGAGAGAAAATATATCTTACATAGATCTATTAGAAGACTCATCAATAAAGATACTAGTTAAAAAAATTGGAAGACAGCTGTAAATATAAATAATAGTTCTGAATTCATAATTCACATACTTAACAATAAAAGCCAAAAATTGAGAACAAAGAAAATTGAAAAAAAAAACCTAAAGGGTTAGGTAATATAATACTTTTTAAAAATACCATTTAGTTTGCTGTCAGTTGTAATAAAAAGTATATTTAATATAAATTGTTTTCCCTAGGATAAGCTACATATAACAATGCTTATTGCAAACAAACCAATATATAGCCAAGGGAAAAATGTACTTCTCACTGAAATATCGAAAAACAAAATAAAACAAAAAATCTGTACATATATTTTACTTTTCTTATTTTTGGACTAATAGTCCAAGCCCTAAGCAATCAAAATGTAGAACCTAACTGGTTATGAAAACTGGGAATGACATTCAAAGTAGTTGCTCATCAAAACAGTATGGAGAGCCAGCACAGTGGCTCAAGCCTGTAATCCTAGCCACTTAGGAAGAAGAAAACGGGGAAGAACGAATAGGAAGATCACAGTGCAGGCTGGCCTGGACATAAAGCAAGACCTCTAAAATAACCAACACACAATAGGGCTCAAGTGGTAGAGGCCTGCCTAGCAAGTGTAAGGCCCTGAGTTTATATCCTAGTACCAAGAAAGCGAAACAGTATGGAAGGGACAGCATGGACCAATTAGAAAAGGTACTGATGAATCTTAACTCAATTACCAAACATTTATACAGGCTATGATACAAATGGAGATTAAGAAAAGCTTAAATTCATGTACAGTTATAGCTCCAAATTATTTTAATTCCCAAATAACCAGGTTTAGCTACACTCAAATACCACATAAATATATCTTGAAAGAAATATCATAATATAGAAATAAGTTTTTAGTAAGTTTCAACAATTAAAAATATTTTTATTTAGATATGCGACAGAAAAGATGACATCACAAAGCAATTTCTGTTTAAAGTACTTTAGAGGTTTCTTTTCTTTTCTTTTTTTTCTTTTTTTGCCAGTCCTGGGGCTTGAACTCAGGGCCTGGGCACTGTCCCTGAGCTTCTTTCTTTGCTCCAGGTTAGCACTCTAGCACTTGAGCTACAGCTTTTTCTGTTTATGTGGTACTGAGGATTCGAACCCAGGGCATGATGCATGCTAGGCAAGCACTTTACCACTAAACCACATTCCCAGACCCTGTTAGAGGTTTCTTTATAGATGCTTATATGCAGTAATTTAATTTTCCACTTTTTAAGATCCTAGGTTAGAGGTTTTTCAATAATGAACACACTGAAGACCAGGAAATTGACAAGTAGCAATTTCAAGCCACAGTGGATGACCTATTAAAGTATGGGCAACACAAGCTATGTCTGCAATTTATTGCCTCAACTCCATATTTATCCTGTGATAACAGAATTCTTTAAGTATTTCTTCTTCAAAACAAATAAACATGAAACTGGCTTTCTCATTAGAAGTCATTGAAGGGATACTAAAGGAGAAAAAGGCTTTCTGGTGGTTTCCAGCTGAGGCAGAGTAAGGTGGGTGGTATTATGGGTATGAGACCATTCAGTAGAACTGGTCAACCACATGCCCAAACTGTGTAGTCCCTCAGCAAACTTTCAGCCTCAGCCTAGAGATAGAAATGGCCTAGAGATAGAAATGGCCACTCTACACCTCTCTAGTCATGGAAAGAACCTCATCAATTTTCAATGGGCAGAAGCAGGAGTGGGAGATGACAGGCCTGGATCACTTATCTCTAAAAAATATACAAATCAAGGCTGGGAATGTGGCTTAGGGTAGAGTGCTTGCCTAGCATGCATGAAGCCCTGGGTTAGATTCCTCAGTACCATACAAACAGAAAAGGCCAGAAGTGGCACTGTGGCTCAAGTTGTAGGATGCTAACCTTGATCAAAGAAAGTTCAGGGATAGTGCGTAGGCCCTGAGTTCAAGCCCCAGAACTGGCAAAAACATTAATAATAATAATAGATAGATAAACAGAAATGAATCAAAAAACACAGTTAAGACACCAGTTCACATAGTTATTACTATTTAAACAAACACACACAAAATAGGTGTTGATGAGAAAGCAAGAAAATTGGAACCTGATGAACATTTAAAATCATATAGTAGAGCCACTGTACGAAGTATTTTCACAACTGTTCAAAATGTTAAACACAGAATTATCATATAAACCAGAAATGCCTAGGTTTTTACCTAAAAGAACTAAAAACAAAGATTGAAACAAATACTTATATACCAATGTTCGCAGCAATAGTACTGACAAATCAAAAGGCAGAAATAACTCAAATACTCATCAATAAATGAATCAGGCTCACCCCTGTAATACTAGCTATTCAGGAGGCAAAAGTCACTCCTGGAAGACAAATCTAGAGGTTTATTGGACAAATCTACTGGTTTATTGGAGATAAATAAATAAATCTTATCTCCAATAAACCAGTAAAAGCAGGAAGTAGAGGTATGCCTCAAGTGGTAAAGTGTTAGTCTTGAATGAAAAAGCTAAGCAGGTAAGAGTTAAGACCTTGAGTTCAAACCTCAGTACTGGCACCAAAAAATAAATAAATAAGCAAAATTTGGTGTATACATATGTTATAGAATGAACTGTGTCCCTTAAAATTCCTATGTTGAAACTCTGATCACTAGACCCTTGGACTATGACTGTATTTTAAGGGTTTTTAAGAGAACTCAAGGTCATGTAGATGGGCTTTAATCCATTATGCCTGGTATTCTTGTAAAAGGAGATACCAGGGCTGCATGCATAAGAGGGAAAATGAAAGGAGGATTCAACAATAAAGAAGTAGAAGCTAGGTGCTAGTGGCTTACACCTGTAATCCTAGCTACTCAGGAGAATGAGATCTGAAGATCACAATTTGAAGTCAGCCCAGGCAGTAAAGTCCATGAGACTCCTAACTACCAATTAATCAACAAAAACTCAGAAATGGAGCTGTGAATCATGTGGTAAAGATCTAGCTGAAAAAGTTCAATACAGTTCCCAGGCCGAGTTCAAGCCTAGCCCAGGATTAGGGGAAAAAAACAAAAAAGCAGAAAAAGTACATGATACTCTTACCTCTAAATAACCAGCAAAAAACTAGAAGTGGAGGTGTGGCTGAAGTGGTAAAGGATCAGCCCTGACCAGAAAAAGCTAAGGAACAGCACTCAGCTCATAAGTTTAAACACCACTATCCATACAAAAAAAAAAAAAAAAAAAAGTAAAGAAAATAAAGCAGCAGCAGCTAAAAAAGCAGCTATCTACAAGCTAAGGAGAAAGACTATGGGAGAAACTAAACAGCTCATCTTCATTTTAGACATATAATCTTCAATACTATGAGAAAAAAATTTCTGTGATTTTTTTTTGTTTTTTTTGTTTTTTTGCAATGGGTCTACTTGTATCCCTATTTAAACGATTTGTTTTTTCCCTTCCCCTCCACAAATTATACCAACATCAAATACAGTGAAAGCAGGGGTTATACTGTGGGGGAGGGACATACAAAGCAACAAAGAAATCATCTTATAAATATGTTAGAAATGATCACATGAAAGAAAAAAAATTTAAATACTTATCTTGGAGTTCTTTTCACCTAACATCAACTTATCTGACCTTTTCTGCTTATCTCAGACATATACTAGTTATTGCAAATAAGGGAAACCATGGGACCTATGTTTCTTTGGGCCTGGCTTACTTCACTTAATATAATTTTTTCCAAGTCTTTCTGTTTTTTACACCACCTAGTATGATATTTTGTTATTTTATTATGGTATCCCTATAAAACTAATACAACATACAATGGAGTATCATTCAGCCACAAGAAGGAGCCAAGTTCTGATATATACTACAATCTGGATGGACCTGGAAAACACTGTGCTACCTTAAATGAGCCAGAAACAAAGGAACTAGTATTATGTAACTCCATTTATATCAGGTATCTAAACAGGAAATTCATAGAAACAGAAAATATATAGACTTTATCAGGAACTGAGGAGAGAGAAATATGGAGTGATTGTTTAATTGGAAAGATGAAAAGTTCTCTAAGTGATGAGTGATAATGTATATTATCATGTGTTTAATGTCACTGAATTACATAACCACATACTTAAAATAACTAAAGTTATTGATTTTATGTTATGTTATTCTACCAAAATTATTTTATTTGTTCATTCATTCAAACATTTTGAGACAAGGTCTAATTATGTTACCCAGTCTAGTCACTAAATCATGGACTCAAGAGATCCTCCTGCTTCAGCCTCCCAAGTTGCTGGGATTACAGATGTGTCACCCCACCCAGATATCACAATTTAAAATAATATGTGCAGAAAATGAAAAAGCCAAAGTTTGAGAACAATATAAAGCTCAGTAGCAATATAAAGATCAATAACAAGTTATTGAAAAACAAAAACAAAAAAAAATAGAGAATATTTAAGTTAATGTTTTGCCAAAGAAGGTATATTAAAGCAAATAAGCAACATGAAAAATGCTCAATATTATTAGTCATTAGGAAAATGCAACTCAAACTTGCAACGAAGTGACACTTCATTACCTTCAATGATTCATCTATCTATATGTGTTTGCAATATTCTAATACATCTTTCTTTTGCTTCTTTCTTTTACATACACACAGAAAGCTTCATTTGAGACCCACACTAATTGCCTACCACACCTAAAAAGCTGGGTAAAACTTATTTATAACATGAAAACTTTCTGCTTATGAAGTAACAGGATATGAAGTGCTTAGGCCTCTAAGAATTGGCATACTCACTTATATATGAGGCAATGTAAATTTCAGTCTCTCAAATTATGGAACTTGACAATACAGAAAATTGTATCTAATCTTGAATCTTCTTACTAGCAATAATAACACCAACCTAATAAAAAGGATTGGAAACTTTTCCAAACAGAAAATCAAATAGTAAAATAATCGTCAAAATAAACTAAGTTAAAAAATTAGAAACCAGCCGGGCGCTGGTGGCTCACGCCTGTAATCCTAGCTACTCAGGAGGCTGAGATTTGAGGATCGCGGTTCAAAGCCAGCCCGGGCAGAAGAGACCGTGAGACTCCTATCTCCAATAAACCACCAGAAAACCGGAAGTGGCGCTGTAGCTCAAGTGGTAGAGCGCTCGCCTTGAGCTGAAGAGCTGAGGGACAGCGCCCAGGCCCAGAGTTCAAGCCCCACGACCGACAAAAAAAAAAAAAAAAAAAAAAAAAAAAAAAATTAGAAACCATAACCTGACCTTCCAAGTTTTTCAGGGGAAATTAGACCACTAAAAACAAACCAACTTCCTGGACTGTGAACTTAAAATTTCCACAAAGAATAGAAGACCAAAAAGAAAACACTATTTAGTGACCATGGAATGCTAGGGTTGACTACATAATTAATTCAAAGAAGTACTATTTCTTTAAAATTCAGTACTTGGCTATTTTGGATTAAAGATCTGGCACAAAGATTACTTACATTCTTTCCAAACCTCAATCATTTTTTTTCATTTGAAAAAGACTTTCAGCTGACTATACGAAAAAAAGTACTTTTCTGCCAAATAAGTTTAGGCTTTTTTAATTCCAAGAATTTTCTTTCTCGGGCTGTTTCTCGATCTTGTCTTGGTCGCTATTACAAATCCTAAAAATTAAAAAGAATAAAGAATTTTTACTTCATAAGACTACATAACTATCCTTGCTACTTTCAGATGTCAGAACTATTTTTAAAAAGGAGAAAACTTAGTATACTTAGTCTTATTTTAAAAAAAAAAGTAATTACAACACTGAAAGAGTACTTCTTAACTAACAGTCTTTTGGAGGTGCCCAACACTTTATAAAATATCTAAGTCAAAGGTTCTTCAAGAGTCAATGAGCCAGAGTCTCTTCTCAAATTGCATGCACAATTTTAAGAAAACGATGTGGCTAACAAACATTTCCTTGGGGAACTGTTTATAGTCTTCATCACATTCTCCTCAGATTCATCTCTACACAACTCCCAAGAAACACTAATAACTCAATAAAGTCACTTTCTATAGTCAAATAAGTGTTTGAGGCAGTTTACTGCAGTTTCTTTTCTTTCAAATTACCTTTGTTTTGATCATGTGTGACATATCCCTACTCTTCTTTCTTACACATTACTAAAATGTCTTCATTTAAGCAGCTCAATAATATAAATTATTTTCTTCTTCCTCCAGAATAAAGTTAGAATGTATTTGCATCAGGAAGATACTTTGGTAGATCCTATCTTGTTTACCTTACAGTAAATAAATTACAGGCAAGGCTTTACTAACAGAGATCTTTGCTTCTTTACATAGCAGAGGAAAGCAACATGAAATGCCATTATGGGTAAAATAGTAATAATTATTATGACTAAAATATTTTTGCTTTTTTCTGTATACTTATTATAGCATGTATAGAATACTCCATAAAAAGAGTTGATTTAAGTCCAATATTGGTGCCTTAAGACATTGAGAAGCGAGGCAGAAACCACCAGGAGAAAAATAAGAGGACAAATATAAGAAATGTCCTATAATTTTTCTTTTAGTATATGCACATAAAGTAGAAAATATCAGGGCTGGGAAGGTGGCTCAGTGGTGGAGTGCTTGCCTTGCATGCCTGAGGCTCTGGGTTCGATTCCTCAGCACCACATAAGCAAAAAGAAAAAAGCCGGAAGTGGCGCTGTGGCTCAAGTGGTAGAGTGCTAGCCTTGAGCTGAAGAGCTGAGGGACAGCGCCCAGGCCCAGAGTTCAGGCCCCACTACTGGACGCCCCACAAAAAGAAAAAAAAAAAAGAAAATATCAGAAGAATATGTAGAAAACATCACAGTTAGCAGGATGTATACTTCATCAAAACAACAGAAACTAAGCTAACATTTTTTATTTACAATAAAGGCAAAATATATTCTTATCTGTTTAGTCACCGTGATGTACATAAAGGACAGAAATGTTTTAAAATTGCTTAGGAAGATGGTCATATGTGATTTTGCTAAAAGCCATAAAATTGTATACCTTTAGGTGAGTTATGAATTATGTCTCAAGCTGTTAAATTTCTATTAAATGAGAAATTAATCTGATATATTAACATGATAAAAAAGACCAACTGGGGTTTATCATACAAATACAAAGAACCACATGATCATATCAAGTGAGGCATTCAAATTCACTTAACACCATCATAAATATATATTAGTAAATAGTAGAACAAAGGGAACAAAAATTCCTTAGCCTGATTATGATCATTTACACTATCAAAGAACCCTATTGCTAACATGAAAGACTCAAGATTTCCTTTTAGATTAAAAACAACTTTGAAATATTTTAAACTGTTGTCTTCTGCATCAAAATGTTAGTTCTACAATATCACAACTGTATTAGACTATGAGTTCTGTATTTACTATTGAATTTCCAGTGCAGAGTCAGCTAACTTGGGGGGGTCGGTTTAAGGGGAGTTTTTCACTGGGGAAAAAAAATTTTACTCTAAGCCATTGTTTCTATGAACCTTTCTCTACTACAAGCCTTTTCTTTTCTTTTCTTTTTCTTTTTTTCTTTCTTTTTTTTTTTTTTTTGTGGGTCATGGGCCCTGAACTCTGGGCCTGAGCACTGTCCCTCAGCTCTTCAGCTCAAGGCTAGAGCTCTACCACTTGAGCCACAGAGCACCACTTCCAGCTTTTTCTGCTTATGTGATGCTGAGGAATCGAACCCAGGACTTCATGCATGCAAGGCAAGCACTCTACCATTGAGCCACCACCTCACCCCTACAAGCTGTTTCTTGTATAGATTATTCTATTTCAAAATTTCTTACTTTCTACCTTATTTCCATACATATCTGAATGCTACTTTTAAACTATAAATGCCCAGAGAATAGAATTTGTATAATCTTCTCAATGATCTGTTCTCTATATTTTTAAAATTGATTCCTTTTCTTTTGATATATAGTTCTACAAATTTTATTACATGTAAAGATTTATGTATCTATCACCTCAAAGTACAGAATACTTCCATCACCCCCAAAATATTCCCTGTGTACCTCCTTGTGGTCACAACTCCCTAACCTCTGTAAAAACGTGAAATGATCTTGAGATAGATTTACAGGTCAGATTTAGTGGCAGAGAAGTAAATCTTGTTTCCCTGTCATGAATTCTTATAATTTATAATTTAATTCATATTAAATCATTAATCATTGTCTCAGCATCCATTTTAAACCAGAAGCAAGGTTCAATCACTGTTAACATGGTTAACAGTTCTATGCCTCTTTCCAGTTTCTCAATGTGGTCATCTAGATTTCTGGCTCAGACAGCTACCTCCTGATGACCACTTCTTTATGGGAAAGCTAAACACAAGCTACTTGACTGGCCACGCTGACTCCATACTTTGCACAGGAGGGATGCTACGATGTTCTTGTAGAACTCATATCTGATCATTTTGGTGGGACTGGAGTTTGAACTCAGGACTTCACTCTTGTCACACTTGCTAAGCAGGTACTCCTTGAGCCATGCCCTCTGGCATACCTTCTAACTTTAAACCTATCAGAACTCTCCTTAGGAAACACGTTTAAATAATGCTCTTAATTGTAATACAGCTTCTAGCCCATAGCTGAATCCTGGTGTGGACCAGCCAGCTTGCTACAAATACCAGGGCTTATATAATTCATTAAATAATCCTTATTTCCATCTTCGTCACCTCTTGTGATCACTGAACAAGAATCCTCTATTTTATTTATTTATTTATTTATTTAAGCAAATCTATGTTTATTAAAATTCACTAAAGGACAAGAGTAAAATATTGATAAGAGTCTTAGCACTACCTTGAGCAGTGCTAGTAGAGTGAGATTATAGTGACGAGGCATGAGATCAAATGGTTAAAGACAGGAAATGGATGGGGATTAGGCAAAGTGTGTGATGTGATGATCATTCAGGACTGGCTGATCTATGAAATGAAGATCTTGAAGTATTTCTAATATGCCTAGACTATATAACAAGACTCTGTCTCAGTAAAACAAACCTAAAAAACAGAAACATACTATACGTTCATAACTAGCAAGAAAGGTCTAAAAGAAACTAATAAATAGCTAAGTAGCAATCTTGAAACTTCAGAGAGGTGATTATGTAAAGAACTGACTTATTAGCTAAATATGGTGATTTGTGCCTCTAATCACAGCACTTAGGAGGCTGAGTGAAGGTTAGCCTGGGCCACTTTATAAAATCTTGTCAAAAAAAAAGCCAGGTACCAGCTACACAGGAGGATGAGCTCTGAGGATCAAGGTTCAAAGCCAGCCCCGGCAAGAGAGTCTGCAAGATGCTTATCTCGGGGTTGGGGAGGTGGCTCAGTGGTAGAGTGCTTGCCTTGCATGCATGAAGCCCTGAGTTGGATTCGTCAGCACCACATAAGCAGAAAAAGCCGGAAGTGGTACTGTGGCTCAAGTGGTAGAGTGCTAGCCTTGAGTTCAGGCCCCACGACCAACAACAACCAAAAAAAAAAAAAAGGAAAAAGAAAAAAAACATGAAAAAGATGCTTGTCTCTAATTAACCACTAAAAGACTTCAGCTCTGCTCAAGTGGGAGAACACTTATACTTGAATGAGAAAGCTCAGGGACAGCGCCCAGGATCTGAGTTCAACTCCCAGAACTGCTCTCTGCAAAATGAAGAAAAAATATACCATGAAGAACTGACTTGTTCTTTGTGGTTCTATAGGGAAAACTGAAACAAGAACAATTACAAAGAGATATAATATGCTTCAATATAAATAACCTTTTAACAATTAATACCGTTAATAGGCTGCCTTTAGGAAAACCATAATATCTATCCAGTACCTAAATTATCTAAGAATAAGAAAGTTAAACGCTACACTTTAAAGTTGTTGGTGATGTATTTCTATGTTGATTTTTTTGGCTCATGTCTGACCTAACAGTACTTCCTGAATTGATGATATACATGATAGAACTAGTCTTCAAATACCATAAGTGAAGTCCCAATCCAAAGTAATGGGTTTTTTTCTTCTGTATTGTGTTATACTCTCATTAAATGGATAACTGTCATGAGCAAACTATGTCACAAACGGATATATTTGGCTCTTTTACAATGTCAGAATTTACTGAATAACAAATTCATAAGCCATGTCAATTTTGGTGGCAATGATTGTCCAAGTATTACTGTTGTCGCTTGACAGCCCAGAGCCATCATCAACATGGGTTTTTTCAATCCTAATTGTAAATTTTAATAATTCTCATATATGCATTACACTGCACATAATAACACTACATAATGGGTTACAGAATGCTAAGAAAAGGTTAAAGAGGCTGTAGAGTTGAGAGGACTGTTCTAAAGGCACAAGCAAAGAGCTGTCTGGTCTCAGCAGGGAAACCAGATTAATAGTTCTATGAAGGAGGGGCTGGGAAGGTAGCATAGTGGTAGAGTGCTTGTCTTGCATGCATGAGGCCCTGGGTTCAATTCCTCAGCACCACATTAGCAGAGAAAGCCAGAAGTGGTGCTATGGCTTAAGTGGTAGAGTGCTAGCCTTGAGCTGAAGAGCTGAGGGACAGTGCCCAGGCCCAGAGTTCAGGCCCCACAACCAAAAAAAAAAAAAAGAAAAGTTTTATGAAGAACCTATAAGTATAGGTACAGAATCATTCAAGGCACAGAACTGT